TTACTACTTAATTAAGACTTTTTATAATCTATACTATTCGAATAATAAATACTATAATAAAAAAAGAAATTGAATATATATTTTTATATATAAATATATTTCTCTAATAAATATCTTCTAGCTTATAATATTCTTATCTATTAATATTCTAAATATAAAGATTTAGCTTTAAATATAAATATTAAAGAATATTAATATTTATCTAATTAATATATATAATTTCTTAAAGAATTAAAATAGATCGATCTCGAAGAAAGTATTATCTTAAAAATTATTAAAGATATTTAAAAAGATTATAAATAATAATAAGCGCTTTTATCGTTTAAGATAAGATTAAATAATAGAAATTATCGCTATAGACGACTTTAATATTTATTATCTTATTTAAAGAGAAAATTATATTAATGTAAATCTTAAGATAATTAAATTACTCGAAATTATAAACGAATTTTAACTTATATAATAACTATCTCGAAGTATTAAAACGTTTAAATTTCTTAACTTAACGCTTTATATATTAAATCTCTACTTTATAATAGAAGAGTCTAAATAATTATATTATTTAGTATTAAATATAAAATAATCTAAATATCGCGTTAAATTATTATTTAATAAAAATCGAAGTAAATATTATAATTAAAATAATAAAGTCCTCGATAAATTATAACTACTTTAAAATAAATAGAGCGCTATATAATAAGAAACTTACGTTTTAAATTTTCTAAATCTTAAGAAAATTCTTACTCGAGGGGCTTAACTTCTTCTTTTTAAAGATTCTAAAAACTATTTATAACTTCTTTATTCTTACTATCTTCGAAAATAAAAAGAGAGATTTTTAAAAATCTAGCTTTAATAAAAAGTATAAAGAGATAAGTCGATTAATATAAAATATCTATCGACTTTATTAAAAGTTTAAAGTCTCTCTTAATACTCGTTATCTCTATATAATTAGAATAAAAAAGCGCGTTAATAATTAAAATAACGCGAAAAGATAAATAATTTATATAAGTCTTATAAAGAATTATCGAATTAAGCTCGCGGAAGCGATAGACGATATAAATAAGATATAAAAGCTTACGAAGTAAATATAGAATTAAGCGATACCCTTTTTATCGTTTACTTTAAATCTAAAACGCTCTAATAGAATAATAATAATACTTAAAAAGAATAAAATAGCTATTCTCGCTAAAAGATTCTTTTTTAAGTTCTTAATAACTAATTTAGATAACTTAAAAGAATATATCTATTCGAAATTACTTTTAACTTCGAAAATTATTTAAAAGAAAGTCTTAGTAATAATTCGAAAATTATTCTTATAGAACGTCTTAAGAGAAGATAAATTATTTAATATTATATTTTAATAAAGTCTAACGACCTTATAAGAGCTTTTTATATAATTATTTAATAAATATTTAAAGTATAAATATTACTTTATTAGCTTTAAGAGTTTTATTATAATTACTTTTTATAAATTTAAAAAGAGAGATTACTCTATTTTTAAATATTATTATTTTATTATACTATTTAATATTTTTAAAAAAGCTCTTAAATTAATTATAATAATTTAGCTACTCTATCTTATAACGAAATATACTCTTATTTCTAAAAATTACTTTAAAAAGAGAAAGAGAATTATAACGAAGTATATACTTTATATATTAATTAAGAAAATTTACTTTATATAATAATAGAAGCGAGTATATAGTTTACTCTATTTAAATATTATTAAGATTTTTAATAATATTAAATTTTCAATTACTTTATAATCTTTATAAGTATAAAATTAATAATATAATTATAAACTAAGTTAAGAGTTTTATCTCGAATTACTTTATAAGAATAAGAGCTTCGAATTTTTTATTTAAATTCTTTTTATAATAAATCGAGATCTCTTAAAATTCGATAATCTTCTCTTTACTATATTACTTCTATAATAATAATTTTATAAAAGAGATTATTATTTTTAAAATAAAAGCTTTAAAGATTAAATATATTAATAATATAAATATTCTAATCGCTAGCGATATAATTAAGAATTATATCGCTATATTAAAAATTATCTATCTTATTTATCTTCGCTAGATCTTAAAATATATCTTAAAATTTAATTTAAATAAATTTTAATTTATTTTATATAAATCTTATAGATAAATCTAATTTTATTTAATCTAGATAATATAATTTATAAAGCTATTAAGTCTTTAAAGTATCTTAATATTTTTTTAGATTAGCGTTTAATTTTTAATATCTATATTAATAAAATAAAGAAGAAAATAAATATTAAGATTTTAATATTAAATATTTTAAATAATTTAATTTAAAGTATAAATATAAAGAATTTATATATAATCTATATTTCGACGATATTATTTCTTTTTATTTATTATATATTAATATAATTTTAGCTATTAAATAATTATAAAATTAAAAAAAGAGAAAATAAGACTTTAAGATTTATATAAGAAATATAAAAGAAATATACGAGAATTATCTCGAAAATCTTTAAGACGATTTTAAAAGATATTTTAAATATCGAATTATTCTTAATATTAATATAATAGATATTAAATAACGCGATAAATAACGCTATACTTCGAATCGTTATTAGTTTTATCTATAATTATCTCTAGATTATAAAAATTAATAATTTAATTCTAATACGCGAATAATTAATATAGAGTAATAATCTTAATATTATTTACACTTAACTTAATTCTCTAGAAAAATTTAAATAATATTATAAAGTTATTTATAGCGTTAAATTTAAGGCTTTAAAATTTTATTTATTATAAGGGTAAAAGTGCTCGAAGCGAACTGATAGGCTCGCTTGCGTCGCTTGCCAGGCTGCAAGCTACGCAGCTAGGGCGAGCATCCAACATGCTTGATAAAGTCTTAAATACTTGCGAGTCCCCTTTCCCCTTCTTCTTTCTTTAGTTATCAGTTCATCTAGCAACTAACCTATCTATTCTATCAACTACGTACCTAGACCTCGTGAATCGTAATTGCATAGCTGCTACGCAGTCTCATTGAAAGAGACCTTACTATCTCATACTTATTATATATTAATTCTCTATAATAATAACTTCTTTATATTATTATCGCTATCGATATAAAGATAATTATAAAAAATTATAATTAAATAGTCTATTATAATAATTTAAAATATATTATTATCTATATAAATAATAGCGAGATTAAAGATAAAATAAGCGTATTAATAATTTAAATAATATTTATTTAAAAAGATTTAAGCGTTTTAATCTCGACGAGAATTATTTATATTAATCTTAAATTCTAATTTATTATTTATTTCGAGAAGCTCTATAAGCTATATCTCGCCTTAGAAATTTTTAAAAAACTTTTAGAATTTTAGAATATAAGATTAATTATTATCTTTATAGATAATTAGATAATAATTTATAATATCTATAGCTTTTAAAATTAATTGAATTAATATATAATAGCTAAAATTATTTATCTTCTTAATATTCTTAAATATTAAGTCGAAATTTATTAAATCTTAACTTATTAAGAAATATTAGAAAATAAAAAGATTAATAGAGTAGTTAAGAAAGTAATAAAATAATAAAAATAAGATTAAGACTTAATAGCTATTATATTATTAAACTTAATCTTACTTATTATATTATAAAGCGTATTATATTATAAACGCGTTATAGATTAATAGATATAAAAATAAAATAATTCGATAGCGTTATATAGAGTAAAAGAGCCGATAAAATATCTAAAATCTATCTCGAATTTTTATATATTAAGAAAGTTCGAGTCTTTAGATAAAGTTAAAAATATAATATTTATATAAATAAGAATAGCTTATATTAATCTAAATAGCTTTTTAATTAAAATCGATATCTTTAATATTAAATCGTAATATTTTTATAGATATAGATCGAAAATATAAGATTATATATTACTATATTATAGGCTATATAGAAAGCTATAAGAAATTATACTTTAGATAAATAATAAATAAAAGATTAATATTAATATTCTTCTAAAGAATTTAATAAGAATAATTATTATTATTTATTTTATAATAAAGATAAATAATTTTTAATAATTTTAACGCTATTAAATAAATAAGAAATTAAATAATAAGAGTAAAGATAAAAGTAATATCGATAACGTCTTAAGGCGAATATAATAAATATTTTAATTAATATTAATACTTATAATAGACCCTTAGATCTATATTATAACACTTTAAAAAAATTATTTTTATATATATATCGCTAGAGATAAAAGCTACTTTTAAATTACTTCTTTAATTATTATTAAAAAAGAATAATAGAATAATTTTTAAATTTTAAATAATTAATAAATATAATTCTTATAAAATAGATTATTAGAGAGATTATACTTTTTCTTAATATCTTTAAAAATATCGCGTCTAGTAAAGGCCTCTATAGACGACTTTAAAATATATTTAAATAGTGATTATAAATTTAATAGTAATCTAATTAATAATAGTATCTAGAGAATTCTTCGAGTTAAGAGAAATCTTCTCGAGGGCGCCTCGATAGGGAACTCTTTTAAGTCTTTTAGCGAACTTGATAAATGTTTAGCACTCAGAAGTAGCTCTAGGACCGAGAAATGGGCCCCGGGTCGATACCCGGGGCCGGAACTCTCCTAGTGGGGCATAGCCTTCGGCTGGGACCCCGATGCTGGTCTTCGGACCCCATCAATGAATAACTACTACTACTACTACTACCCACCCGGCACCAGTGGGGCCAAACTCTACAACAATCACATGTTGAATCACTTCAGGTCTGATTCAGGGAGCAGATCCTCTTGTGAGCGAAATGAGTGATACCCGAGTGGTGCTGACAAGCTTCTCTTTGGCCTCACTTTTAGTAGTGTCGTTGGTCTTGGATTGGACCATCGCAAAATTGGTCAGACACTATCTCTCCGCCGAGTAGTCCTCTGAGCTGCACTTATTCGAACCTGACGATACGTCTCTACCCCGCCTTCTTTCCGCCATGTCTTCTAAGAAAATGACCGCAAACCCTGTCCGGCCGGCTAGATACCGCCCTGGCAAGGCAGTCGCAGAGGAGCCATCGTCTGACGAAGAAGACGCATCCGCGGGAGAAGAGGAGCAATCTACACCAGCACCCAGAGCACCAGCCCCGACAGCGTCATCGTTCCCTTCAGATGCTACGAGAATCGCCGGTAGCCTCAAGAATGTCAACCTAAATAAGCGGAGACGGCAAGCTGCTGCGCAAGAAGCTGCACGTGTTGAAGCCGAAAAGGCGGCGCGGGTCGCAGAGGAAGAAGGCTTTGTGACCGAAGAAAGCGAGGAGCAAGAAAGCAGTGATGAAGAGTTGGGGTCCGGAAGCGGAAGTGACGAAAACAGCAGTGAGGAGGAAGCTCCAAAGGTGCTCTTACGGCCTACATTCATCAAGAAGGACAAGCGGAAAGACAGCGTTGTCGTCCCAGATACCAAGACTGAGGAAGACACGTGGGCTGAAGAGCAAGCGAGGCGGAAAGAGAAGGCTGATGTCATGATCCAGGAGCAACTAGAAAAGGATGCTGCTGCTCGAGCTGCTGGAAAGAAGGATTGGGATGACGATGAGATCGAAGAAGTTCAGCAGGTAGACGACACGGATGACCTCGACCCCGAGATCGAACGAGCTGCGTGGAAGCTGAGAGAGCTAAAGCGGGTGAAGAGGGAGAGGGAGGCCATCGAAATAGCTGAAAAAGAGCGAGAAGAGATCGATAGGAGACGCAACCTTAGCAAGGAGGAACGGGATGCAGAGGACAAGGACTTCATCGAGAAGCAGAGGGAAGAACAAGAAGGCAAAGGCAAGATGGGCTTCATGCAGAAATATTATCACAAAGGCGCCTTCTTTCAGGATGATGCCAAAGCGGAAGGTCTGGATCGACGTGACATCATGGGTAGTCGCTATCAGGACGATTCGAACCGTGAGCTACTCCCGCAGTATATGCAGATAAGGGACATGACAAAGTTGGGAAGGAAGGGCAGGACTAAGTACAAGGATCTCAAGAGCGAAGATACTGGGCGATGGGGAACCTCCGAGGGAAGAGGTCCTCGAAAAGCCGATGGTACATTTGACGAGCGTTTTATGCCAGATCAAGGGACTGGAGGGAAAGGTGGCTCTGGAGCAAATACTATCCAAGTTGGAGAGCGAAGACGACCGCCGGAGGGCGCACCAGAAGGTCCGCGTGGACGCGATAGAGGCGGACGCTTTGACGAGGACGGGGGAAGGAGAAGCCCACCAAGACGGTCCTACTCACGCTCACAGTCACCACCCAGGCGGAGGGATCATTCTTACTCGAGGTCACCGCTACCGCGGAGAGATCGAGATAGAAGTCGAGGACGATCCTACTCATACTCCAGGTCACCTCCACCGAGGAGAGATCGATACCGCGACGAGCCAAGCAGACGAAAGCGGAGTCCTTCTCCATATCAGGACCGCTATGGAAGCGACAAGCGGCGAAGAGTAGATGTCTCTTAGTCTTTCCATCGTGCTCTTAGACCATCAAAATGCCAATCTTACGAACTCCGTGCAATACATATGCCCATTGCAGCGCCACGCTATGCTCATGAATTCACTTCGCCTTTTTTCCCTCATTGAATGTCTTTCCCAGTTCCATCGACTTGTCTATGTTCCCTACTTCGTTCCCTCTCTCTTCACAACCTCTTCTTCAAATTTAATCAAGAACACCGTCTTCCCAGGCCACATTCCCCCTTCTTCCCCAGCATTGTGCGCGCTTACCCCTGCTTTACAACCAACCCCACAACAAACCCCTTCTATTATCCCCGCAACGTACGCTGCACAATTCAATTGCGACATCTCCTTTGGCACTGATATGTACTGATTCACCAAGGGTTCATTATCTGAAATCATGTATTCATGGTTGTTGGTGGAGGAACTTTCAATGGAGTCTGCGGAGCGGGCAAAAAGGTGCCGCCAGAGAGTGTGGGCGATGAACTGCAGGAGTGGGAGGATGCGAGTGGGACGGGCAGCGGGGTGGGTGGGGGTTGAGGAACGGAGAAGTAGAAGGGGGAGGAGGCGCTGGCCAAGAGGATAGCCTGCTTCGTTGAGTCTGTAACATGACTACGTCAGCTCAGTCCGGTCATCAATCTAGCTAAAGTGAAGCTGTTCGCCTGGGTGTCAATAAGTGAAGAGAAATCGTAAAGCATACCGTCGCTCCAGATCCTGTATCCCCGTCACCCTCTTCTGCGCATAACCAACCATCTCACCGAATAAATACGCAAAGCTTGCCCGACTCAGCTCGGCGGTACGTGTTCGATTGAGGTTCCGGTCGTAGATTGTTTTGCGGTTCGAGGGCGTGCGGAGTCCTGCACGTTGTTGCGGGGACTGCTGGGGCATGCGCTGTGGTTGGAGGGGGGTGGACGAGACGAGGGTTTTGGGCCCTTGTTGGGCTGGAGCTGCGGTTGTCATCGTGAGAGGTGCATTTGTGGTGGTGTGGGGGAAGTGTAGCTCTGGAGTTGGAGGTCACATTCAACAACGCTAGTGAGAAGGCACTCTTTGCGGAGCGCTCTCCGCTTGATCAACATATTCCTCTACCTTTGACACTACTACCATCTTTTAGCATTATTGATCCATACTGGAAACTGTCATATCTCTCTCAAGTTAGCTCAACCCGAGATGTCTCCTACTACCCGCTTCCCGGTCTGACTCGGCTTCGCACCTTCCATAATTGTCTCGAATATACAGGCACCCCCCCCCACCCATCTTTCTTTTGGCTCTTCACCGCTTCATAATGGACTTCGCAGGTGGCTACCACGACCCAAGCCATCTGCAAGTTTTGCACCATACTTCACCTTATCCATCAAGAACATCATCTACCACAGCAGCATACGGTGTTCTCTTTCTAATTTTCATCTATTACGTCCTCCAGTACCTTGACTACACAAATCTCCCAATGTCAGAGCTCCTTTGGAACTCCTTAGTCTATATAACCCCATCACAGATCTTATCGGCTCTGGATAGTGACTTTGGAACAGCAATGGCCCACGATGCGCAAAACGACAGTACAGGTTTCAACTCAAAGGGTCATGCAAGCAAGAGTAACACCATGAGACGGATCTTTGGTCTGGATGGTACAGGCATCTTGACCACAATCCAGCGGACGAGGACGATTTCGAACGTTGGCAGCGTCTTCAAGGCACGGCCAAGCAATAGTCTACCGGGTTTGGGCAATTGGGACAACTCTTGCTATCAGAATAGCGTTCTACAAGGTCTGGCTGCACTGGAGTCTCTGCCTGCTTTCCTGAGGTCGAATCCAGCAGGGACATCAGGACCTACGCAGAAAGCTCTGAATGAGACGATTGCCAGGTTGAACGATCCAGCCAATGTGGGAAAGACATTTTGGACCCCTGCAGAGCTGAAGAGCATGAGCAGCTGGCAACAGCAGGACGCTCAAGAGTACTTTTCGAAAATATCGGATGAGTTGGAGAAGGATACTGCGAAGGCTGCGAATAAGAGACCTGGTAGTAGTGGACTGGAAACCTTGCTAGGTGTAGAACGGAGTGATACGCGGACGAGTTCGCCAGAGACGACCTCGGTCCCTCGGACAAGCAGTATTGCTTCTTCTGAAGATACGATACATGTTGAGCAGCTTCCCGAAGAAGTCGCATCTCTCATAGTACGAAACCCTTTGGAAGGCCTCCTGGCACAGCGCGTTGGCTGCCAGCAGTGCGGCTACGTCGAAGGCTTGTCTCTGGTTCCTTTCAACTGCCTCACCGTCCCACTAGGTAGGCAATGGATGTACGATGTTCGATCGTGCCTTGATGAGTACACTGCTTTAGAGCCAATCAACGGAGTCGAATGTGCCAAGTGCACGCTGCTGCGAGCCAAGCAGCAGATGGAGCAGCTACTTTCTAAATTACATCCAGACACGGGCGAAGGAGAACCAGCTCCAGATGAGGCGACAAAAGCTTTGCGACACTCTTTACGAGAAAGACTGGATATCATCACTCAAGCCCTGGAAGATGAAGACTTCTCGGATCAATTGCTGAAGAAATGTCAGATACCTTCAAACAAGCGTGTCTCAACGACGAAGACGCGGCAAGCAGTCATCGCTCGTAGCCCGAGTTCATTGGTTGTTCACGTCAACCGAAGCAACTTCGACGAGCTTACCGGCGTCCAGAGCAAAAACTCAGCCACCGTTAGGTTTCCTCAGCAGCTGGACTTGGCGCCTTGGTGCCTCGGTCGTGACCCAAGCTCGGATAACGAGGATGACAGTGTGGAAACGTGGAATGTCGATCCGTCTAAGTCTATGCTGTCGACCGAAGACAGCATTGAGAAACTTGACTTTGGGAAGATGTACGAGCTTCGAGCTGTTATCACGCACTATGGACGGCATGAGAACGGTCATTACATTTGCTATAGACGATCTCCGTACAGTTGCAAACCAGATGTATACACAGATGTTGAAAGCTCTACTACGCCTTGGTGGCGCCTCAGCGACGAGGATGTGACAGAAGTTGACGAGGACACTGTTCTGGCGCAGGGAGGGGTGTTTATGCTTTTCTATGAGCAAGTGGCACCTCTTACGCCGGAAGAAGCGCCTAAGCCCATTCTCGATGAGCCAAAAGCGGAGTTGCAGACCATAGCTGAAGAGGGCAAAGCTTTAGACCCCACTCAAGTCATTGATGTGCCAGAGATGTCGATTTGCGATGATAGCCAATCTGTAAAGCTGGAGCACGAAAAGCTGGCTTCTGCATCTGCACATCCAGCAAACCTTGTCTCCCTTCAAGCGCCGACTGAAGGCACAGGAAGTAATGCGCCTGTCGTCGAGAACCCAGAGCCTCAAGAAGCCCCGAAGGTCAATCCCGTCGCCACTATCCGTGACCCATCTCAACCTTTGTGCCTTGGGTCACCGAAGACTCCATTGCCGGCTGCTTCAGAAGCCAGGCCAAGCTCTCCAGCTCCAGCACCAGCACCAGCACCAGAGCCCAAACCCATTGCGAAAGTTGCGTCTCCTGAGCGCAAGGGGGTTGCAGTTGAGCCTGCAGAGCCTGCGCCCCAAGTTGATACGCATAAGGAGAACCAGCCTGTCAGTCCTATGTCAATGCGAACGGCAGGCCCTCGAAACAGCAGAAGCAGTGGAAGCAGAGCTGGGAAGGCGATGGGATCAGTGGCTGGATTTGTGCAGGCCAATTGAGCTTGGCTCGATGAAGGAGAAAGAGCAAATGATTCTTAGGTTTTGGTTTAGCATTAGCACACGAAGTCATTTCTGAGAATTGTTCTTATAGGACAAACACGCTTGTATTGTTATACCCCACGGTAGGTATCAAACGCAGAAGAGATAATCCATCGATCGTACTCCAGCTTCCAATCACTAATCCTGATACGTGTTCGTTTGATCATGCTATCTTTGTCCCAGTGTTTGTTGAACATCACCTTTAAGTCTCTACTTCATGAGAAATTGCCCACATTCACAACACCGTTTTGTGCTTGGTGAGATCGTATGCTTCTATGTTTCCTGCTTCCCTTTAAAGAGCCCAAAATCAGGGGCGTCAACCCCCGCATCTATGACAATTTCCATGCCTTCTACGTCTGACGGGTAGGAAAACTCCCGCTCATTTCCCCCAATCCTGACACCCTAATCCCCAACATCCAGCCTCCTCCTCGTCTCGTCTTCTATCCTCCCTGCCCAGCACAAGAAAGGTGGCCGGATATCCACGGCGTCGGACGCAGACCAACCACTTGCGTTTGCCGGATGCCTGTCTGTCAGACACACCCGATGTCGAAGGCTCCACATATGCAGTCTCCATCCCCCCCCTCTCCCCACACACCCAAAACAAATCCTGCACGCAGATCCAAAAAAAGTTAAAAAAGAAGACTTGATAATACGCGAGTCCACCCACCCGCACACACACGCCCGAAACCTCGCCACCACCAGCCGCCATCCTCTCCCCATCCGGCCCGCACCGATCGTCCTCGGGCGCCCCACATTCGCAAAAAGACCCGCGCCACCGACGGTCCGTCATCGTGACGGTGACCGGTGACGCCGCGGACGCCGGGGGCCGTTAAGGGTTTTCGCCGGCGGAGATCTCGACGGCGCGGCTGCGTTGTTGGGGTGGGGGGTGGGGGTGGGAATGCGGCGGTGGGGGCGGTGGGGATGGGGTTTTGGGGGCGGTGGGGGGGCGTGGTTGGTGGGTGTGGAGATCGGAGGGAGGGGGGGTTTTGGGGGGAGGAAGGAAGGGGAGACGTGGGCGGTTGTGCGGGATCTCGGGAGGCAGGGAGATCGTGTCCTTCTTCCGCGAGTGGGACGGAACCCGAGCGAGTTTTCCAGACACCGGGATGGCTTGGTTGAGACTTTTGACGACGGAGGTGGTGGTGGTACGTGCCAGCTGGCAGGGTTGGGGGGTGCGGTGGGGTTCTCCGTCCGTTGGGATGGGCGGTAAGAGACGATGACGAACAGCGCTTACTGTGCATCTGGAGCCATGGTCGAAGAAGGGGTCTTGAGTAAGCTCTCAATTGAGAGGACGGGGTCGTGCCATTTCGGTTCGCGTGGTGCGTTGCTTTCTTTCGCTTTCCGATGAGGTTCTTGCAATGTTTCTGGTCAAACAGGCGAGTCATATGCGAGCTCGTGTCCCTTGATGAATACTGTTTCACGCTTTGTTGACTAGTATGTTTCGTTGCCTGAACCCGTCGTGCCGACGGCAAGTCTCTAGCTTTGCTTTCTCCGTGTCTCGCGTTTTATCCAAGCGCTTTTTGCCTCGTGCCTTATTTTTGAACTAGCTGTTCACCTCTAGGGTTGTTTTCCTTAGTTTCAAAAACCTCTTCAAGCGCTTTCCCTAGTGCTTTGCAATCATGCGCCTACCTCCCTCCGTGAGAGGTACACCCTGAAGGTGGGGGTACACAGGGCATTTGGACCATTCGCATGTTTCTTCGTGGGCGCAAGCGAAATTGCATGTCCTTCCAGCCAACCGGTGCGTTGCGCTGTAATATGTACAGCCGCCACGCGGTCGGGGTTTTTTCGAGGAGACCCTGCATTGAGTTCTGAGATATTATTACGAGAATACGAGCACAGTATGGCGACAGGTTCAGCTAGGCTTGGATTATAAGAGGAGGATATCCTCTTCAGCGGCAAAAAGTGGGATACGTACGACCGGGGGCCTCGAAGTGGTCGATCATGTACGTCTGGGGGAAGCCGCACGGATTCATCCTCTCCGTCATCCTCATCTCCATCGCAGTCGCAGCGCCTTCCGCAATCCCCGTTTTCAAAAACGACGACGTATCGGCGAATGCCCCACCACAGCCTGCCCCGTCGACCGAGGCGCTCTGCCCCGACCCGCTCCTCCCCAGGATCCCCGTCATGCGGCAACTCCCCGCCGGCGTCCACGTCACCGTCGCCCACGGCTGGGTCATCACGGCCCGCGCCATCGCCAGCTTCATCGTCCCGGTGCAGACCATGGCTGCGGTCCTCGACTCCTTCTACCACGACGCTCTCGTCCAATTGGCCACGAGCTCTTTCGAAAACAAGCCGCATCCGGGCCATGCTTTCGGGTTGAGTATCGGCAGTGTGAACCTCGCGCTGCGGGCCGTGAATTCGGGCGATTACCTGACGTGGGAGGCATGCGAGGTTGTTGTGGCGAGTCTGCTGCATGATGCCCAGATGGGTTTTACGGGCCAGTTCCGGAGCGAGTGGTATCATGCCGAGTCGGGGGTCTTGCTGTACGTTAGCTTGGGGGTGTTGCAGAGGGTTGGGCTGGGGCCTGTGGGTGGGGGGGTTTGAGTTTCGGGGGTGTGTGGGGATGGAGTCGTATGGATATTAGATGTTAGAGTAGCGGACGAGAGAGAGCTGACTGTGCGGAAAGGTGTATGTAGATCCTTCAGGAAGCCAGCTTACCGATTCCGCTCGGCGGTTTGTGTCGATACTGCGCATTTGTTTGTCGTAGCGGTCAGTCGGCCTTTGACCCCAAATTTCCTAATGAATAGCCGGGTGCAGCAATCAATTCTTCAACTCTGGAATCTCTTAGAACTCCCGGGCTTTTCGGACACGGTGTCCCAGCATTCATAACTTCAGGTTTCTCCTCCGAAACCCAACGGGCAGACCACTCGGCGCCATGCGGTCTTGACGACGGAATCCGCATTACCGGCCCTCTCGAACCGAGAAGCAACTCCCCTCCCCATCTCTTGTAGCCAGCCGGGACCGAGAACAAGCTGAATCCGGACAACACGTACTGAAAAATTCGTAGCCAAAGGCGCCGTACGCAATGACAAGGAAGCAGCGGTCGAGGGAGACCGCGACGCAATCGAGGACGAGGAGATGGAATGAGAAGCCAGATTGGCAATATGGATACGGGTTGGACACGGATGTCGACTCGGAGGAAGAGGTGGGCGAAGAGGGTATCGAAACCGGGGACCATGTCGGAATGCCGGTTGAGGGAGGAGCTGAGGGGAAGAGATGGTGCTCAGGGATGATAAGCGAAGGAGAATGTTATTGGTGAGGTTGTCGGGTTTGTGTGCTCTGTTTGAGGTGACTGAGCTGTATGGTGTGCGCGTTGACGGAGGGGGGAAAGAGGGAGGTGGAAAGAGGGAGGCTGGCATTGTCGTTGATATAGTGTGGGAAATGAGGATGGGGGCTCCGGTACGATATGATCGTAGAAATGGCTAGTTTCAAAGCCTTGGCAACTTGTCCATGAGACCTTTCCGAGAAGTCAGATATTTACAGACATTCAGGTGAAAAGCAACCTGAGTAGACAACAGATAAGGAGCGGTCTTTTGCATGAATCATCAAGTCCCGCTTTTCTGGATCCAGCTTTAGATTTCTAACATGCATGCATACATACAACGCACGAGGTATAAAATGTCGCTAACAAGGTCATTATTCCTTCAGATTGGGGGTATCTTTGATGTGTGATCTCCACTCAACGCCGTTTTTGTTTAGTCTCATACTCTTGCCTTGCCTGCCTTTTCTTCCTAGATTGGTTGATGCCTCTGCGCTGCAACTTCCGCATGAATTGCTGTCTGATGAAATTGCGCCTAATATAAAAGTCAGCTGCATCTCCAGGATTCGAGGTTCATGCTGCAGATCTCACATCAAATAGATCGTTACTACGAAGCTGACAGGAGCTGCGATCTCCCAGAAGTAGCTGCATGTTGTTAGGAAGGACCTTTGAGTAGGACTTTTGAGTTGGTAGTCAAAAGTTACTCACCCGTCGCCATGATTATGTGCACCAGTAAAATTGACAAAATTCATACCGAAATAGCCCTAGAAAATCAGTTGGTAGCCTTGGGCTGTACGTAGGAGCACCTACGGTTAAGAAAGTCAGAGGAAGAAACAGTATGGTGACAACCGTGAGTTGTTTCATCGTCTCGTTCTGACGGGCACCGTTCTTGTTAAAGATCAGATCAATCATATTATCAGCCGCGTGCGTCATCTGGCCCAGTCCGTCTGTAATCTGGATAACGTGATCTTCAACATCCCCAAGATACACTTGTGTCATGGGGCTAATGGTAACACTTGAGGAGACGCGTTTCGGAGGGTTGCCGTTCAAGCCTGGCGTAGGAATAGGGTCGCTCGTGTGGTCTCGCAGCGCGTTGACGAGGTTGACGACAGGAGACAGATTGCTCTTGAACTGGACCACCTCGGATGTCAAGACATATAACGACGTTGTGTGGCTGATGTCCGCTTCTGTAAGCACATTGAGCTCCAATTCGCCGATGGCATCCTGATAGGCTTCGGCTACTGGGAGTGCCAAGTCGATGATGGCATCGATGATGGCCTGTGTAATCATACTCGCATCTGCCGTGCGTCGCAGAATGGTCTCTTTACTGCTCAGTCGAGTTATAATGGGAGATTCAATATCTTGGGCCGAGGATTCGAAGAAAGAAACCACAGTATTGTCGGAGATCAGGAAGATTGAGACCTGCTCAACGCCCACGCCTAGATCTTTCGATGCGAGCGCGGAATGCTTCTCCATGAACTCGATACGCTCCTCATTCGGGCCGCCATGGTATCGTTGAAGTGTGCGGACAGTAGTAACAGGGGCATCCATGGTAGAAGAGGAATGGGCCTTGATGAAAGCATTGCCTGCATCAGCGAAGCCATTGCTCGTCGGGTCAACGTAGCCATTGCTGGGGGTGTGCATTTCTGCCGCTGAGTCCAGGGGCTTTGGAGGCTCCTTTGCGTTCTTCTCATTCTTCTTCCTTCGGAAAGACGAGAAAAGCCCCTTCTTCTGTTTCCTTTTTCTGGTCATTCCGTCGTCGGAGCCCCACTCCTCGCATTCTGAATCGCAATGGGTATCGGAGTGGAAGTGGATGAGCTTCTGCAAAGGAAGGACGATGTAGGTGTGATCTGAGTACCAATCGGCTTTGGTTCTGTTCCTAGGATTTATGAGATCTTCAACGGCCAGCCGATGCAAATGTTTGTCATTTCCCAGCAGCTTAATCACATCCCAGCTTAGCCCGTTGACGTTGATCCATCTACATGCTGCCCAGTCAGGCCTTGGATTGTCCATGAAATCCGGCAGAGTCTCATTGTCAAGGTGTGACAGTCGTATATCATCCACCGAAAAGTCAACGATTGTTATGTCGCACTGAGCATGCAGGTTCGGCGCCAACGACGGGTGCGGATGCGTTGCTGAAGTGTCTATGCCTGGCTCTTGACCTGGATGCCAGTCTTGACCTCGTATTTCGGGCTTGTAGGTCTTGGCTGTGTTGGAGCGGTTTGGCCGGCGAAACCTGACAGACTCCTGTATGATTTGGCAATTAGCAGAAGATTTCTAGGGTCAAACCCGGGTCGTGAGAGATGTTCCAGGAGTATTTTACTCGGCGACATGTCTAGCAACTTCAGATGCATTTCAACTGGGAAGATTTGACTCGGAACGCACGACTCACTATTGGAGAAATAGGTTGCTTGTATCCTTTCTCCTGAGACTGGATGGGTGACTTTGGGGACTGTGCCTCAAGATCGATGTGTGATGGTCGCATAGGCGATGACGAGGTGTTCAATTGCACCGGAGTGGCACCATCACGGCCGTAATCTCGTACCTCAGACATTGTTGCGGTCTCGTTCCTCAAGGATTGAATCTGGCAACATTCTCCCCCGAGTTCCCCACTTTGATGCCAATGAAGGCATCGGGGAGCGCCGCCCGACACTAAGGCGGCAGGGGGTTTACTAATCAACCGAGATCTAGCAAAAAGGCGGGAATATTCACCCCAACAAGCTAGGTAAGAGCAAGAAAATAATATCGTATTTTACAGAATCCTAGTTTTTTAAAAATAGAAGAATTTCGCTCAGATATCCAAACAGAGATTCCTACTAAGGACTAACCTATTTTACACTTTGGCGTAACATCTCTCCCCCATCCCCCATCCCACACCCCCACCCCCCCCGTAAGACCCGAAATATCACCCCTGCGAGAACTTTGGAAATCGCCTAATTGAAGGCATCGGGGATTAAAAAGCGCCACTGGATTAAAACCCCTGCCGACCTTACTGTAGTAGGAGTACCTTAAATTTTACTCTACAATCTCCTCTCGTCCCCGCAGCTAGTCCCTAGCCCAGCTCTTATCTTTAAAGTACTTAACCTAGGTACAGTAATGTACTAGAACCATTGTCATCTTCCTTTTCCAGAGCTTGAAATCTGATCCGCAATACATCTGCTTTCATCTCTGACTTCTATCCACCATTACTCGTATCCCTTGACATCTTTTGCAAATACGAGTATGGTGGCTTGCGAAAAAGAGTGGCTAAACAAGATTTGCCTGTCACCATAGCCGTTTGTTAATCTATCACCGTCTTGGCTCTGCGAAGGGTATGATAATCTCGAGAGAAACAGATATCGATTCTCTCGAGATCAGGGACTCTAAACGACTGATATGATAGATTGTGAGTAAATATGCTAACTACAAGCAAAGCAAACAGATTTCAGGGAGAACCCGGCATGCCCGTCCTTATATCTGTCTCATACAATCATTTTGTACTACACCCAAATCTGCCGTACTGCTCACCACCTTGAACCAAGAGACAGAGATATCGGGCTTCGCATCTGATTTATTCTTCTTTGCTCCATGGTCTTTTCTCTTGCCGTAAGAATCAATACCGAAGGTTTACTTGACCCTCAAAGTAAGTCCTATCAAGGGCAAGCATCGAGTCGAATTTGTCCATCGGCCAAGCGAGTGTTACCATGGTCGCCAGGGATTGCGCTGAGTTTCAGCATCTCCCGGGAAAGAAGGTTTGGCGGGAACCCTTTCCTCATTGGGACTGGTCGCAAACTCCTTGCTGGTCACCTCTTGAATCAGTGAACTACGCCTCTCCAAATCTACATGTGAAACTTCCTTGTACCGCCCGCGGCGGCGCTGATGACCCGTGAAACAACAACAACAACAACAATAAAAATCATAGTAACGTTTCATGTTAAGCTCTGCAAGTAATATGCTTCATCATCTACTCTTGGCTGTTGGTTCTTCTGCTAATGACGAAAAATTGGGGTCCAAAGGTTGCGGCCCCGAAATGTACGAAGCTGACCACTTGTGGGAGATGCACCTTCTAAGATATATTGTAAAGGATTAAACGGTGCTGCGAAGCGTTCAAGCATGGCAGTGCTTGTCTTCATTCGAAATTGCCAATACCGTTCCACTGTTTTTGGCAGCAGGATTAATATCCCTGTCTTCATTCTCCAGTCCTGAATTCCCTGCTTTCAAAGGCCGCCTTGTAACTTGTACATTTGGCTCTTTTCCTTGCACACGACCAAGGAACGTAAAATCTCTCCGTGCATGTGATTTTTCTCTCTTGTAATGCTCCCTGATGCCATGGCCCCAATGCGTATCTGCACGTTGATATTTACACTTGCCTCCTCGTTGGTGTGGGCAGCTCCTTATGGCAGCTCCGGATCTCTAGCCAGCAGGCAGTCGACGGAGAAGCTCGTCTTCTGTCATTTTATGGTATTGCACCTCGAGAGCTCCCGATTGTTCATTGTATCTGGCTGACCAAGGAACTCGAATCAAAGATTGGCGTCGTAGATGACAGAACCAGCTCCTCCGACTATGACAATGACATGCAGCAAGCCAAGGCCGCTGGGATAGACGCCTTCGCGCTTAACATCGGCATAGACGGCTTTACAGGTACACAACTTGATTTTGCATACGAGTCTGCCCATTCCAATGGCATGAGCGTCTTTATCTCCTTCGACTTCAACTGGTACTCAACGTCAAACACTTCAGGCATAGCAGACACGATTGGCACTTATGCAGGCTATCCAGCGCAGCTCTTGATTGACAGCAAGGTCTTTGTCTCTTCTTTCTCTGGAGATGGCTTGGACCTTGCTGGCGTCCAATCTGACTTGACAGCCCACGAGATCTTCTGGGCGCCCAACTTCCAGCCAAATAACATTGCCTCCGCTGATGCGCTCTTCAACTGGATGGCATGGCCGAATAATGGCGACAACAAAGCTCCAGACGCTGGTAATAACTTGACAGTCTCTGAAGGCGACACAAGCTATACAACCGCTCTTAAAGGGAAACCCTACGTTGCACGTAAGCTTTCATCGCCACATCAAATCACCGACATCCCACTGATAGGACTGATGCAGCCGTCTCTCCTTGGTTCTCGACCCACTTCGGCCTTGAGGTCAAATACAGCAAAAATTGGGTCTTTCCTTCCGACCTTCTTTGGTTCGATCGCTGGACTGAGATCCTAAATCTTGGCTCGCAGTTCGTCGAAATTCAAACCTGGTATGAGAACGGAGGCTTAGTCATTGGCACAGCCGGAAGACTGGAAAAGATGCTAACACGGGCATAGGAATGACTATGGCGAATCTCATTACGTCGGACCTCTCTCATCTCCTCACATCGACGACGGGAACTCGAAGTGGACAAACGACATGTGAGACTCTGCATCATATCGCTGTGCCGAGGGTTCGAATTGACTTGGACTTTAGGCCCCACGATGGTTTTCTTCAAATGGCCAAACCTTACATTGCTGCTTTCCACGCCGGGTCCAAGACTGTAGATAGCCACATCGAGTCTGACCAGCTAATTTACTGGTATCGCCCTACCCTCAAGTCTGCCTCTTGTGGCTCCACGGACAACTGCGAACAGCCGTGGCCTAGTCCCACACCCAATCCCAACTACTTCACTGGCAAGCCCAACGGCTATGATACCATGGAGGATTCTGTCTTCGTCATTGCTCTCCTGACTTCCCCTGGAAGTGTTACCGTAACTTCTGGCGCCAATGGGCCCGAGACATTCGGTGCTCCGGCAGGCGCTAGCTCCTGGCAGGTGGGCATGGGAACGGGCAAACAGTCATTCTCCCTGACTCGTAATGGGCAGACAATTCTTAGCGGGGACAGTCTGAAAGACATCATTAGCGATTGTGTTTGCGGAATTTACAACTTTAACGCCTATGTCGGAACGCTGCCAGCTGGAGCGTCGGACCCGCTCTCAGCAGATGGCTTGAGAAGCTTCACCAACAGTCTGTCCGCCACATGCCAGCCAACGCCTTCTCTTGGCACCGCAACAGGAGCGGGGACAGGGGTTGTTGCTGTCCCTACTGCTGTTGGCACTAATTCTTCGGCTTTATCAATGATTGGCGGTACTGGAAACTCTACATCATCAGGCAGTGGTGGTCCCCAACCCTCAGCAGTCAGAATCGCAGTATCACCTCTTCAAGGCTCTGGCGCGACATCCTCATCCGCCGTAGCAGGAGCACCGGCAACAACATCGCAGACTCCTACAACCACGTCATCGACCACCGCAGCAATTATGGGTAGTGGAAGCAAAACAATAACAGCGCTGAGTCAGCTGTTCCCAACGAATTGTATGCATGCTGGCTTTGTGTGGGGAGGACCTCCAGGCTCAGATCCTGCTGCATGGTGTAATGGTGGATGATTCTTCGGGTCTGGTATTTGGGGGTTTGGGCACATGGCGAGTCAGAACCTCTGGCACAGACTCAACATTCCGTTACTCCTTCAGGCTGGACTCATGGTGGGGGATCTGCCCATTGATTGACTCGTGGGTTGACTTTATGATCGGGTTGAGTGACCATTTCGAACAAGCCGATTGACATGCTGAAGGAGTGCACATGAATGTTTGTGTAGCAGCTACTAAAGGCGCTTTTTGTGTCGTCATACCTAAGGTAGCTCTTCCCTCAATAGTGAATTCTCGCCCGCTGGCTAGCGCCTCTTTAGCGTAACTTTCAGCTAAGGTAAATAATAAAGTAAGGTAAGGTAAGGTCAGGTAAGATAAACAGGCATGAAAGGTGCCACCAACCAACTCCCAATGGCTCCCACTGAGAGCCCACAGAACAGGCATGTACCGTTGCTACCTTTCATCATCGCTTTACTGCTCGTTAAATCAAAACCGAGTAACCTCTCGGGTTCTGGTGAGTAAAGTGACTCTGTAAGTCCGTGGAGGTCTCTTAATGATCATTTATAGACTTTCGCAAGCAGATGGCTTCGTACATCGAAAACGGGCCTCGCTCAAATCATTCTCCGGAGGTCGACGCTCATGTCAACATCAGGGCATTCTGGCATAATAGATCTAATCAATTGGAGGAGGAGAAGGCTACTTTCGAAGCTAAAGTGTCTCAACTTCAAGCTAAAGTATCTCAACTCCAAGCAAGAGTCTCTGAGTTGGAAGCGAGAGAGATTCTATGGAAGTCGAAGAGCCCTGAGGTAGAAGACTTGGCTCGATCGCAAAAACTCAAGCGGAGGAGGGATGGCGAGCCAGCCGAGAAGCCTAGCAGAAGTACGAAGCGCGCAAGGAGAAAGATTAGCGCAGTGGCTTTGAATACGCGAGATGCAGTGCTCCAAGATCTTATTAGTAATGAGACTGGCTCTGAATGGGACGAGCTTGGTGAGTGGCACTTTCTGCAACAAGACCATTCGCCGCTTACGAGACAGGAAACAATCTTCTGAACAGTCTCCGAAATCTTCAAGGAAGCCCGATAGCGAGAAAGGGGAACCCGTTAGGGCCGAAAGACCTCGCCTTGAAACTATCCACTATCGCCACCGACATATGCCGCCAGGTGTCTGCGATCGATCTTCCCGCCAATCTTCACGAAGTCCCTAGTACTACACTTCTCGGCCCCACCCCAAGATCGAAGAAGCAGTTGGTTACCTATCCTCAAACAGAGCCTGAAGATATCATTGAGCAACGCCTCACCCCAATTGGACGAACATTGCCTCACTTCTTGGTCCATCTTCGCACTCTCAGCCAGATTTCTGGGAGTGAAAACCTCTATAGACAAGTTGAAGACAGATTCATCGACGCCTTCCGTGTGCTTTTCCAGCGTATCTGTGACTTAGCAGTCGCTGATGTGAAGTCGAACCAAGACAGGCCTAGGACCACGAAGTGGGATGGTGGCCGGAAAAAGCAACCTGGTACGATTCCTCTCGACGAGAGACCAGCCACATCACCAATCATTATGAAACTTTGCAAGCTCGCGATATCCATGCTGTTCCATCTGGATCCCATACAGTCCACACATAAGTCGATCCTTGAACGTTGCCTTTACCTTCTAGTTACACGAGTGGGAGAAGTGCTTAAGGCCTTTACCATTGGAGAAAGACCGTTTGGGATTCAGGAAGATAATACGACATCGAGGCATGACCCGTCTCCTCAAGAAGGACAACAGCTCAAAATTACCAGTGCAGCAAGCGAGGTAGAAGCTTCTGAAGCTCAGGCCCCCTATCTCATCTGGATATTGGACCGCACCCAGCGATTCAGCTCAAGCGTGAGCTCCCCAACCAAGGCAACCATTACGTCTCACGATGTTCATCGGCGAATTGAAATAGCCCAACCAGACAGCTCACATAGCACCACATACGACGACGCCCGCATCCGGCTCCAGCACACCTTATTGAACGCCCTATTTGGGCCCGCCGCTCGCTTTGAACCTGCTTTGGAGTCTCCACATGCCCTGCCAGATGACGAGCTCATGACCGGCTTTGAGACGCAATCCGAAACGGCAGACGTCAGGGATTGGTTCAAGAATGAGGTGTGGCGACTCATAGGGTGGGACGTGCTAAGGGGAAACATAGCATGTGACTAATGACGGTATGGCAGGACAGTGAAAGCTGTAAAATTTTAGGGAAGCACTCGTCCATTGCTGAATATGCTTCATGTTACTTCATGTCGGTTGCGTTTACTGGGGTCGAAGTCTGGGCATTTGGCATGATCCATGGTAGCCAGAATGGGAGAACAAGATTTTCGAAACATGGGATCGCTTTCCCAACAAGATTTTACTGTGCCAGTGCTGTTTCCATCCGAGCTCTCCGCAATAGTGCACTCATTGCCCAAAACCAGAGACTTCCTCGGGCCCGAAGCAGACACATGTATAACCATTTCCAGGTCACAATCCGCCAATATGCAACAGTGACAAGTGCCCAACCCCAGTCGTCCTCGGACTCCAAGCCGTAAAATTGAATCCAAGCGGTACAGAAAAACACAAGGTATGATCCCCACGGTACGAACAGCCCACGCAGCATGGATACCCCAAGGGTCAGAGCCCCTCCGATAATGACCATCAACCTCCAACGCGAAGCTTTACCCCCGAGTCAGCACAGGGTTAAGTATGAGGTATCGTCTCGTCGGTTCTGGCCGAGAAGCGCCGGTGGGGGTATATGAGTGGTTGAAATCCATCATCACGAGCGACCGCGCATTCTGTGACTTGCATCCCCGCACTCGCCTACCCGTCAGCATCAGCCGTCTCTCGGGCTGTTGTATGATGCGCTATGGCGAGACATGGTTGAGGACCGTTTCGATGGGCTAGCGCGATAAACGCTGTCTGGGATCGGTGATGGAGTAGCGTAGTGTGTTTATTTGAGGTGAGGTACTTGCACCACTTTCGGTCGAGTCGTGGGGGATTTGGGCCGAGACGTTTGAATGCAGCAGGAGGAGTTTGTAGATGCATGCTGTGTATATGGCGCTGCGTCAAAGGTCTTCCTTCCCTGTTCCGTTCTAGGCAGACAACCAGCGTATCGATGAGCGGAGTTGCAAGGGGGTTGTCGGATCGGCTTTTTACTAATGTCTGCGGTGGGGTTTGGATTGTTTCAGCTAGGGGTTTTCAGATATGGGGCTCAAGGTCGCACAGACGCGTCGAGAATGGGCAACTTCCAGCAGAACTTCCGGCACCATCTAAACAACTTCTATATCCTCGCATTCACCCTCGTCAAATGCTTCGCCTTTCATGATGCCGTGGATATACGCTTCTCCGACCAGTCGAATACTTATGCCTTCTTCCCTGAGGATGAATGGTACGTTGCCACCCTTTCACAACCAGACACAGTCGCCTGGCTGAGTTGTTGCAGGGACCAGCCCGATGGAGCCTTTTGACGTCCTTGCCATACACTTGCCCATTGCAAAAACCATTCTGTCACTGAATCCCTTCCATTCGACTGGAGGTCTGATGCCGAATCGTGGAAAGATGAATCTCTGAACAAAGAAACAGTACATTATGAAAGTAATTATAAGAAACGAAGAGGAGAGGTTCGATTTGTGTAGGACTATGAGGCTTTTCATGGCTTCGTCGAACGAAAGAAACTCCTGTCGTACTGTATTAAAAGTCTCCAATGTGCACCCCGCGCAGAGTGTCTGCCAGTATGCATCGAACATGTCTTCGCCAGTGACATAATTCTGCTTCTTGGAGCGTACACCGGCGACTCGCTCGCAACTTAGTTGCCAGAGCAGCTTTGCGCGCCCAATATCAAGATACTGGCGCTTTGTGAAGTCGGTGGCAGCGATGCTGTGTTTGTCCGCATACCCTACGACGATTATGCGGTCTAACTGGAAGCCTGTTAGAACGAGCCCACGATTACTCTTGGGCTGCTTCCATGCATACTGAGACGCTCTGGCAGCCATGTATGTTGCGCGTGTGGAGCTGAATTCGTTGTGGAAAGTTAAAGTGTATGCCGTTCGAGGGACACTCCAATCCGGGACCCAGGACGGAAGACTAGTTGATTTTGAAGCGGACACAGCTTCTACGGAGCCGAGGATTGACAGACTCTGGTCATAAGCAAGGCACGATAACGCAACCTTTTGATAAACATCTTGAGTGGTGGTGTCGTAGCTGATCGTGACCTGATGTTGTGATGCCTCGTCTGCTAGACCGAGCACAGCATATATTTTGTCCTCGGACTTAGTAGCCAGACTGTCTTAGTGACGCACAATAAGCTGCGAGAGATGAGGTCGTTTCGTCTCATCGAACTCTTTTCGCTGTTCGAAAATCGCATAGGAGGTCTTCCTCCAGGGCCCATCTATAACCTTGCCTAGCACTGCCACGGCAAAGAGGGCCGCGCTCAGGTCTTCCAAGTCAATGGTGAGAGGTCCACAGACCACAGTTGCCTTGCGGCAGACGGAGACCTCATGGATAACCCATATGCGCCTGAACCAGCCTCGCTGGAATATCAAGAAGAGGTCTTTCGCTGTCTCATTGAAAGGAATTCGGAGGTCATCTCTACTAGAAAATGACATGCAGTTGGGATTTTCTGTGTTTGAAACTCCTCGCGCTGCTGCCAGCCGGCGTGCTTCCGAGAATGCATGCTTAGTTTGATTATCTGCTTTGCCAATCCACACCAGAACTGTTTGAAACGTCTCGTGTATATGCGGCATCAAGTGGATCTGTATACTTTTTTCCAGGTTGTCCTTTTGAATGATACATATCCCGTCGACCCAGAGTGTGCGAGCTCGATCTACGTGCCGCAGATGTCGAAGAGCATCATACAGATTCTCAGACACTGTCACCATTTGATCATTACATCTTATCTCTTTCCTTTTGGCCGTGTCTCCCCAGGTGTACGAGATAGCTTCGTAGTATGGCTTGTCTTCTAGCGATGCAGAATATAGGCTGAGCGTCACTATATCTTCGGGATATTGGAGATCAAGGAGTCGTTTTCTCGATTGCCCTGATTCCTGCGCGAGTGGTAACTAGTTTTTTTTTTTTTTTTTTTTTTTTTTTTTTTTTTTTTTTTTTTTTTTTTTTTTTTTTTTTTTTTTTTTTTTTTTTTTTTTTTTTTTTTTTTTTTTTTTTTTTTTTTTTTTTTTTTTTTTTTTTTTTTTTTTTTTATTTTTTTTTTTTTTTTTTTTTTTTTTTGGTTTTTTATTTTTTTTTTTTTTTTAAAATTTTTTTTTTTATTTTTTTTATTTTTTATTTTTTTTTTTTTTTTTTTTTTTTTTTTTTTTTTTTTTTTTTTTTTTCTTTTTAAAATCACATCCCTAGTGGTAACTGGTAGGTAGCTGAAACATTCCATTGCCGGCACAGCGGCTTGGCGGGGACGCTAGTTTAGCAAAATCTAGCGCAGCATAGCCAAGACTAGGTACCTCACTCTCTAGACCCTTAGTGAATTACATACAAAGCTAATGTAAGGAACACTCGCAAGTCGCAATAAGGTGCACGAATGACTCGACTTATCTCTGCAAATACAAAAATTAGCCCTTTGTTGGAGGGCTGGGTAAGTGGAATGATGAGCCAAGGGAGCATACCTCATGCCACCTTAGCAAGCTTAGACTACATGACCTTAGAGCTTTGATCACCCTTATCATCTTATGCAAAGCGGCAGCCCTACAGAAGTCGCCGCTGCACGGTTCGCGATCCCCCTGGGAATGACTTCTACGACAAGCCAAATCATTTTGGAGCAGCTCTCATAATGCGCTGATGCCCAAAATCGACGCAAGAATTAGACATCTTCAGTGCTTTAGACAGCAACTTTTCTGGCAGCTTGCCTGGCTGTTGTCAGTCTGAATGCTCAAATCGATGATCAACTAAACGGTTAGCTGATATTAGTCGTCCTTGCCTTTCACAAAAATGTAGCTACTTCGCATCTTACCCAGCTGAATTCAAGCGTCTAGACACGGAGTCTTCCATCAATACGTGGCCGACAACCTCTGGACCAGGTATGCCCCACTGTTGACGCCTTCATACTTCTTCCCACCTTTTTCACCTTCCCACGTTCCCGGCAACGCTTCGATCCTTTTATCAAAGTCGGGATTGCAGAAATATGCCACGGAGTACCTCGCCGGGTGTCCGTCCTCTACCTCCCTTCCCTTCAATGGTGGCTCTACCACTCTGTGCTTTGTGCTTCTGATCAAATCGTTACTCCATCTTGCCAGCAGATCTCCCGCATTCACCACTATCGACCCTTGGATAGGCTGAACATCCACCCAACCTTCAGGTCTCTCCACCTGTAAGCCTCCTCTCTGGTCTTGGAAAAGCAGCGTCACGCTCCCGTAATCGCTATGGGCACCGGCCCTGACCCTCTTTCCGCCTTCGAACCCTCCAGGCGCTACTGGAGGATAATGCAAGAGTCTCAACGTGTTATCTCCCATTGTCACATAATCTTCGAAGAAGCCCGCATCTAGGCCCATACCGAGGGCTATCCCTCGCATGAGCACTGCGTGCACTTCTTTACACCTCTCAAAAAACCCCAGCATGGTCAGCTTGAACTCCGCCCCTTCGACGTCCATTTTGTCCGGCCATCGATTCTCATGACCTTCCTCAAACTCTCTTCCGATCTCGAAGCTCTCTTTCAAGTCTTCGCCTCCATGTTCTCGCTCTTTCGCAACGTCCGCTTTGGACATGCCTTGGCTGACTTTCTCCCGACCCATGCACACATAGCCCCTATTTGAGCGGGCTGTGGTCCATGCTAAGCCATCCTTCTGTGTCTGAGGGCGAGCGAAGAAGCGCGCTGACTGCTCGAAGACTGATGCGAGGAGAGATGGGGGAATAATTGAGGAGAACTCTGTGAGGTAGAGGAAGCCGGAGGTTCGGAAAGCAGAGAGTAGTGATTTGGCTGTTTCCAGGGTCGAAGGCGAGTGTGTGAGAAGAGGTTGCAGGGAGATGAGCTGGATATGATGGTTGGCAACGTCTCACGAAGAATGGTTGGGACTTACAGGGATTGGAAGTTCCGGTTCAGAGTTGAGAGCCTGTGAGGAAGGCGCCGCTGTTGGAGCCAATGCAAGAGGTGACGACATCGTTTCAAAGAATTGACGAGCTCTCCGCTGTCTGAATAATGAAGCGACGGGGAGAAGAAAAGAGACGGCATTTGGAGACCTCTCAACAGCCGCACCCGATAAGCGCACGGGCCAAGTGGGGCCGCTGTCAGAAAAGGTTGTCAACATTGGTCTCAATCCCCGTATGTAAAGTACCGTTACAATATCAAACTCTACTTGATGATGACGGTCTAAGCGATATCCAGGCCATGTTTGTGCGCGATGCAACCTAGGATATAGGGACTGCCATCTTTCCAATTCCAGCAGCCCGCTGCTCTCTTCAGTATGGCGACCACTCCAGTTGTGGATATCCATACGCACATATACCCAACTACTTACCTCACCCTCCTGCGCTCTCGCACCAAGGTCCCGTACCTCCTCGACCTTCCCGGCAAATTGGCTCCGCCGCGTCTCATAATTCTCCCCTCGGACGACGACCCAGCCCTCCCTGCGCATCAACGCGGCCGGCCCATCGACTCGTCATACTCATCAATGAACCAAAAGCTTGATTTCATGAAGACACACGGCATTACGACTTCCGTTATATCACTGGCGAACCCTTGGCTTGACTTCCTTAGCCCCGAAGAAGGACCTCAATGGGCCGCGAAGGTCAATAACGAACTTGAGGACATTTGCTCAACAAGTCAAAATAGCCTTTACGCTTTCGCAACGCTTCCCCTCTCCGCATCTTCTTCACGCATCACAGGCGAAATCCATCGCCTTCAGTCCCTGGCCCATATGCGCGGCATCATCCTCGGCACTACTGGCCTCTCCCAGGGCCTTGACGATCCTGCTCTCGAGCCAGTCTGGTCAGCTCTCGAAAGCGCCAAGCTCCTCATCTTCCTACACCCGCACTACGGCCTTCCAAGCTCTGTTTACGGGCCACGAGCTAGTGAGTACGGGCATGTCTTACCGCTCAGTTTGGGATTTCCGATGGAGACTACCATAGCGTTCACGCGGATGTGGTTGAGTGGAGTATTCGATCATCACCCCAAACTCAAAGTATTGATTGCACATGCTGGGGGCACTGTACCCTTCTTGTCAGGTCGAATCAACAGCTGCGTGCAACATGAGAGGCACTTTCCAGAAAATGAAGGTGGCGGCAGGGGCCCGAAGAGAGGTCTGAAAGAGGTGCTGAGAGAGAATGTCTGGCTGGATGCTGTTGTTTATTCGCCAACAGGTGTAAGAGCAGCGGTGGAGGTTGTTGGGAAGGACAGGGTACTGTTTGGGACTGATCATCCGTTCTTTCCGCCACTGGATGAGGGGAAAGAGGAATGGATGAGTGTGGACACAAATGTTCAGGCGGTCAAGGAGGCTTTTGGAGAAGATAAGCAGGGCGCCACAAAGGTGCTGGGTGGGAACGCGATTGAGCTTCTAGGACTCGATGTTGCAGGCGATGGCTAATCTCTTGTCTCTTAAGCCCAAGCATTCAAGATTTATTCAGGTGAAGATGCACGATTGTAGCGATGAAGGAAAAAGCATAGAAAGCGAAACAATAGCACGCTGAGAAGTCACACTGTGTTGAGGGGTTGATCCGAAAGAAATGGTGGATGAGTTGGCGGACGAGCCCAGAAGGCAATGCACAATGCCTGCCAAAAGAAAAAGATCTGACCCGAACCCATTACCAAAAGCAAAAAGCTCAGGCGGACCCGCGCCTTCACAAGCTCGCCGAAGAGAAGCGTGGGGAGTTGTCCGCGTACCCTACGAAAATCCCAGTGAAGGGTTTCCAATACCACAGCCACGGGCAATCACATCCGGGGCGAAGATACGGGCCTTATTGTATGTATAAAGATATTTCATCATCGGGCCTGTGCCGAAGCGTGGCGCCACTTTCGACAAAGCCCTGATCTCTCTTCTTTGCTAGCTTACTTGGCCTCCTGTGCTCATGTCTGCTGCAGGAGTAAAGTGAAATGTTGAAAAGGCCTCGCGAATCCCTGAAACAAAACCAACCCTTCACAAACCTTACAAAAAGCCTCAGGCGGAATCTCAAGCTCTCGAACCGTGCGAGTCCCCGTCCCCAACCAGGGTAGGGCCAGGCTCACGCCTAGGTAGTCCTCGTCAGGTCCTCTACCTGACGGGAAGGCGGAAGAATGATCGCTATTCACATACATGAACCGGTCTCTTTTACACTCCATTCCACTCCATACCTACTCGTGTCGGAAGGAGGACGTGAAGCTAAGGAGTTGAAAAAAAGGGTTCCAGCCTCTGACTCGAACTTGCCCCCCCTGAACTAAAAAGCCCAGCTCAGGCCGGTACCGGCCGATGAGCTAGTCAAACGACGCGGTCTGTACCCTGCCCCTCGCGGGTGACAAAAAGATCGGAACGCCAAGCCAGACTACTGCGCGGAGACGGACATACAAATTTCTATGTAGGTATCTCTCTGTTCTAGTATCCTGTCATTGCTCCTTTACCGTCCATGACTGCTCGTAAACTATTTGGCATACTAGCCACTCTCTCGTTAATAAAACGATCTGGAAATATTAGTCCACCCCTCATCAATTAGATTAGTGCCTTGGTCGTACTGTTGTCAGTGCGGGCTTGGCGTTCCGATCTTTTTGTCACCCGCGAGCCCTGCGAAAACCCCAATGGAAGGAAGGGATTTTATACCACATCCCCGTGAGGGGCGGGTGAAATGTTCTTATCAAAGGATACATGTTATCGTCCCTTTTCCCAGTGCTTCAAGAGTTGCGTATTCCCCTTGAGTCCATAAGAGGAACGATTCATGCGGTACGGCGAAGATTGTACTTTTCAAATAGAGGTATTTAGAGGAATTCGCGTGGGTATATGCTTCGCAAGCTACTTTAGCACTGCATGCAACAAACGTACGCTCGCTTTGCTTAATCGACATGCTTTTGGATGAACCCGCTCCAAGCTGAGTTGACGTCGCCAACGCTCGCACGCAATATCTATACATTGGCCGTTAATTACCCATGTCGATCGTTACAGATACAAGGTTGAAATAGATCTTGTGCCATACAACGCTCAGCGCTGCATATGCTCCAACGATTCATCCGCGGGCAAATCGCCCACAAAGTCCTCCATCCCAGCGTAAACTGGTGGACTCGAGGGCACGTCCTCGTATATAGGCGGCATCTCCTCGTCCCAGCTGATTCCCATACCAGCCCTCTCTGTGACCGTAGTCTTGAACTGCATCCGCAGCACCCTCGCCGAGCCGGTCGGCATAGCACCCTTGGTACTTTTGCCCGTCGTCTGCTCTTCCGCGACGATGATTTCGAGGACGAGGTTATGATGTACGGTAAGACCAGTAGGCGAATCGACATCGCAGACGGGCTGAGAGCTGGGTCTGATAGCGGCCATGAATTCCAGGGTAATTTCACCGCCCTGCGTATCGTAATCCGTTTTCCATCCATCCTTCATTTCATCGCCACCAATCGAGCGTGTGTCTTCATGTAGTATACCCTTGCCCTCGCCGCCCACTTTGTTCGTATGCTTGGGACAAGCGGGGCTGATGATCTTGCTATTCTCTTCTATCTTCCAGTTCATACGTCTGATGCGCCAGCGCCTCTGAATGTTCTTCAAGCTATTGTCTATGATACCAGTCATGCTCATCTGAACGGCGAATTCGCCGATTGGGTGGATGACGCTAGGTATAACTACCTTCACGTTCAAATTCGTAGGAGGAAAGACGCGGACGGAGATTTTGTCGCTGCCTGGCAGTGCGCGTTGGACTGTCAGGGTACGGGAGACAGTGATGGTATCGGACACGGCGCAGACGGCACGGCCGTCCAGAACGTAGTCTATGTGTCCAAGCTCACCGTGGGAGGTAGCGGGCAGGTGGCCTGGCAGCAGATAAGAGAAGGGGAAGGTGTGGATGCCGGGCTTGTAGTGAGTGGGCTCGGTGAGGAATTTCCAGGTAAAAAGATCGGTGTCTTTCACCTGACAGTTGGGACAGTCTTTGGTGATGGGTCTCTTGTTTGTGACCCGTGCGATGAGGGTCATTTGAAAATTCTGGAGCTTGATCCCAGGGTCGGTGACTGTGAGGAGGAGTTGGCCGGAAAGGAGGGCACCGGTTGACTGGTTCGGATTGCCGTAGAAGACGAGAGGCGGCGATTCCATGTCGATGGCCAACTTGGCAGGCTTTGTTGGAGCAAGTTTGGGGCTGTTCTTAGGGCTGCCTTTGGCTGGAGTATTGGATCCCTTTCCTCCCAAGCCAATGCTATGTCGTTTTTCCTTGTTGAAGAAATCCATAACGCCGACGGATGATTTTCGCTCGGGGCTTGTTCTCGAATCCCTTCTTTCTTCAAGATCAGGAATCTCATGAGAATTGACTTTAATGGACTTTGATGTTTTTGTAGACTTGATAGAGCCGCGAATTCCAGTTGGCATGGGCATTTTTGATTTGATTTGGTTGGTGGCGGGAATGTGGGACGGGAGAGAGACTAGAAGAAAGGATGTCTGCACAATCACAGTCGAATGGAAGAGAAACAAAGCAGCAAAAGCCCAGCTGGCTGGGAGATGGGATATATGTAATAAGCATGATGAAATGAATGAGAAGGTTTCCAGTTTCCAACACTTTCACGTGGTCATCGGATTGGCTTGATGTTGTTTTGAGAGGGTAATAGAAATGAATTTTCCGAGGAGCTGTAGGCACAAAAATGCAAAAATGCAGCGCTTGGATGTCGCAAGCCCGGAGCCCGGTTTTGCTTTGCTGCGGAGCACTTTCCGCTGACTCCTTCGCCTATGCTATTCGTTGGACTGAGGCAAGTCTTACGTAAATTCTGGGGAATTTTTGAGACCTAGACCACTTCCATCAAGTCCACCCTTCCATGAAAGATGGACTACAACTCTCACTAAATGGCGTGATGTCTATCCACATCAGTCTCCCTTCATGTCGTCTTCACTCTCTGTTACAGTATCCTCCTTCATGAACCATGACCAAGCATGCTCCATCAGAACATCAGAACATCAGAGCATACTATACCCCTTCCACCACCCCCACCCGGCAACCACACCCAAACACCCCACAGCCCACTCCCACCTCATCTCCACAATCGCCCACACCCACAGTGTTCCCAGTGGCGGTGCCTTCTTCATAACTGCCATATACGGGTCTTCGTTACTAGCATGAACAAGCCAAGCCCCGGCTGCCACACTCAGACATGCGAACAGTATCTGCGTGAGGAGGTGTGACGACTGAGGATGCAGAATGGACACTAGGACGAGGATTAACACCGGTGTAGGAGAGATGACAGTGCTGGTGTAGAGGATCGAGGTAAGCGATGGCGGCGTGGTCGCGTATTGATGATGGACCAGGACAGTAAGGGTAAAGTGTAGCATGGTCAGGGTCGCGGTGTAAAGAAAGACATCGAGGTAGGGCATTGTAGCATCAGGAGAGTTCGAAGCTGAACCTGTAGTTGAGAGAGTTCCATCTGGATTTATCCTCGTGGTTGTAATTGAGGGAGGAGAGCTTTGCGACGTGGTAGCGAGCAATTGGCGCTCCGAGGCAATGTCGAAGAGGGTCTTGTGGGTTGGAGCTTTACGAGATGGCTGGTGCAAAGGAGTTTCATTTTTAGTTGCCGGATTGGCTCGAGCTTGAACTCGACGCTCTCTGCGGTTGCTCATGGGATGGTTGGAAGGGGAGGTGGTATTCACGCAGGCTGAACAAAACATAAGGCCGGCTTTAAACCCTCGGAGATAGAGTAGCCGCTTCCACAGGGCGCTGGGAACGCCTCCGATGCAGGTATAGTACTAGTACCACGCGAGCTCAACGCCTCCGGTCCGTTGCTTTTTTTCCAGGGCGTCCTAAAAAAAGATAGCGAATCAAACATAGGACAGCTTTCGTTCCAAGCAGCAGAGCATGCAGCTCTACCTCGCTCTCGCCATTCCCATACTCTTGGCAACAGCATGGCTGTACACCGCGCAGGTCACACGGACTTCCCTCCCCAGTCTCCGTAACAAGCGCATCTGCCTTCTCATCGCCCATCCCGATGACGAAGCAATGTTCTTCTCTCCTACACTGCTCGCCCTGACGGCCCCGGAAACGGGCAACCATGTCAAGATCCTCTGTCTGAGCAGTGGTTCGTTCATGCACATCATTACCCCTTCCGAGGCTATTTCTATGCTGATTCGCTTCATACGCAGGGAATGCAGATGGCCTCGGAGAGATCCGCAAGCAAGAACTCGCTGCCTCAGGTGCAATGCTCGGTCTCCGCTCCGCCTCTGACGTCCTTGTTATCAATGATCGAAAGTTTCCGGACAGCATGACAACCACATGGCCGGCAGACAAGATCGCCCAAATATTGTCTTCCGCTTTCAGTCCTGTTTCCAATTCCACGAAAAAGAACTCACCATCTGATGAGCCCACTTCTACCATTGACACCCTGATCACATTCGACGCTCGTGGAATATCATCCCACCTGAATCATATCTCTCTGTACCATGGCGCGCGGCATTGGCTATCTTCGCTTATGGCGGGAAAGTCGGGTTGGAAGTGTCCTGTCGAGTTGTACACCCTCACAACTACCAACATCTTGCGAAAATACATCAGCGCCTTCGATGCGCCTGTGACAATGGTACTGGGAGGGTGGAGAGCGGCGGGAAAGGCACAGAGAAAGGGGAAGGAGGAGCCACCTAGTCTGTTGTTCGTGAGTGATTTTGGGCAGTGGAGGAGAGGACAGAGTGCAATGGTGAAAGCCCATAAGAGCCAGATGAGGTGGTTTAGGTGGGGATGGATAGGGATTGGCAGGTATATGGTTGTAAATGATTTGAAGCGGGAGATCATTACATGATGAGGAAACGAAAGCAAGCGAGCATCGAGTCTAAGGTATATAGACAAGACCAATACAGAGCTTGTTAGCTTAGGCGGGGACTAAGCCAATGTGGGCAGAGCTTTTGTTTCGAGCTCAACGAACACCGTTTCGTTGCATTGCCCTCGCAAAAGGTTTTTATCATAGTTTTTACAGAATCCTAGGTCGAAGCTTACTGTTAGCTAGTTCACTTATGCCGACCTGCGTCCGACCACTTCGCTGTTTACCGTTCTGATGGTGCAGCCGGAAAATCCTATCAGCAGAGCATGGCTTGAATCGACTCTGCAAATTGTGCTTCAAAGCAACCATCCCCTTGAATCTCCATTCACAGAAGGCCTCCTCTTCACAGGGGCTTCAGCATCTGAAGTCGAGATGCAGCAGGAGGCTCGGGATGTCATACAGCAACAAAACGCATAGAAGGTATTCCTTACTCAAGTAGGACCCGAGCAGGGCTTCGCGCAGGGACCTCATCTATATTACAACGGGACAGTATGGCAAATTTTGCGCGTACATGACGATACTGCAGGGAGCTTTGTGAGAGCTCTTGCCCCTTATAACCAAGCGCAACCGGAGTGAGTCGGCAACATGCCCACGGTCATATAGCAGGAAAGGCCGCTTTTTGACGTATTGAGTAATAATTTCCAGACATTGAGACTTCTTGGTGCCCGCTACCAGACTCTGAGTATCGCTGTCGCAGCACGAGCTCCAAGGACGGACCTCTGACCGTTACAAGGTCTCAGGTTTGCCGTCAAAGATGCGTACCGACTTCGAGGACTGAAGACTTCGCTTTGCAATACTGCTCATCTGAACACAAGCTCAACATCAAATATTACAGCTACGATCGTACAAAATATGGTAGCTGCAGGGGCTCATGTCGTTGCTATGACCAAGCTTAGTTCCATGATCGGAAGGGAAGAGCCAACAGAAGCTACCAATTATCATGCTCCGTTCAACCCTAGGGGCGATGGCTATCAGTCTTCTGCTGGGAGCAGCAGTGGCTACCTATGACTGGCTCGATTTTGCGTTTGGAGCGGATACAACAGGCAGTGCTCGAAGATCGGCTCTTGTGAAGGGCATTTTCCAAATGCGGCCTACCCAAGACGCGGTACATCTGGACGGCATTGTGCCTGTCTTTGAAACTTGGAATGCGCCAGCCATATTTTCAAGAGACACAAGGATGCTGAAGCCTGTCGTTTCTACTTGGTACAAGACCAAGGTTTCGGTCGCTCATACTGCATCACACAAGTCTGTCTCATTGTCTATCCCCTTGACTGCTTCCCTGTGGACAACAAAGTTCAAACGCAATTGATCGATGCGTTCCTGGATGATCTTGCGGAAACCCTCAACGCGGTCCTACGCAGATTTTCTACCGCGTCTCTGTGGGATGAGACTCGGCCCGACGAGGCTGGCCAACAGAACGTTCAAGATTATCTCCAGGATACTTACGTCAACAAGAACGTCCATGACTACTACTACTATAACACAGATGAATTCCGAAGGACATACGAAGAGCGATACCAAAATCGACCTTACGTTGTTCCTTCATCAACTGGAAATGGGAATTGGGCGGGGCAGTAACCCGGGCACAGCGAGATGAGGGCATGCATCAGCTCAACGTGTATAAAAAATGGGTTCTGGACTCCGCCATGCAACGAAATACAAATTTAGCATTCTTGATGATGCCAACCTCTAATTCCATGGTGAACTACCGAGATGCCCCTTCACCTCCAGTGGCACAACCGACTGGGTTCGATCCATTAATCCTATCACCAATCCTGGGCGCTCCAGACGTTGTCATTCCAATAGGAGAATACGAGTACGACTCAAGGATCAGTGGACGGAAGGAATTCCTGCCGGTCGCCGTGGATGTGGTAGGCCTCCCTGGCTCAGACCTCCATTTGATCGATGTCATTCAGCACTGCCTTGAGATGTCGGCGCGGCCAACAACAGTCAGCACTCGCCCTGGAATGCTCAATGACGACACCTGATCGACACTTCATGGCCTGGTTGACCAGATAAAGCCTCAGAGCACGATGGCGTATTTGATCTCGTGGTCCTGATCTCAATCGTTGTTTATCTTGAATTACATGTCACATGTCTAAAACTTTCTTTACCGGTACTGTCATTTTGACCAAAATGTTACCAATTCGTCGAAATGCTCCTCAGAAAGATTCTCGTCTTCAACCTCTTTGGATCCAGTGATAGGCTTCCAACCTGATGCCGCTTGCCTGAATAGCAACGGAGTTGTCGTGCGGTTTTCATCCATTCGAAAAAGAATCTTAGCTTTCAAGAACGACGTGCGGCCGATCCCAGGAAGATACACGTCTCGATCTGCGTTCCACACTCGTAGGGCCTCGGTCTACCAACGTCAACGCGTCCTTGAAATGGCCTCGATGCATGCAATGTTGAGCGACTCGGTGGCAAACATCTGCAGCTCGATGATGTTCGTTGCCAATAGTGGATTGATATTGCCCAAGCGCCCTTTTATGCAAATTTTCACTGTCGTCAGGCAGGCCCAGTGGAGCGCGGACATTGCCTAATGCATGCAGGAAACGGACGTCCTGGTCCACAATCAGCTAGGATACTTCGGGCTGTGATAGTAGAGGACGGATGTACGCGAACGATTCTTTGTCGTTGGGGCCAGACGTGGCTTCTCTCTCTTCCAGCCGTTGTCCTAGGACCAAGGATGCCTGCTTCAAGTCACCTAGCAGCCAGTGCGCCGTCCCAATGTTGACTAGCGGAAGAGCCCGCGTGTATCCGTTGTTTTCTGACAAGTTCTCATACACGGAAACCGCTTTTAACCAGGCTTCAATTGCTTTGTCATACTCTCTTGCCATTATCCAGCCAATCACAATTTCGTTGTACGCGATTGCGAGCTTTATCCTGCTTGCCTCTCTTCCGGGTAACCTCTTTTCGGATTGCTAGAGTGCCTTGCCATGCTCCAGACACGACTGCGGATCATTCGTCTCAGTAGCAACTGCGCCTAGTCCGTCGTGTAACTCCTACAGCAAGTCGTCTAGATCTTCGCTTGGGTGTCTCTGGCAAACAATGTATGCCCGCTCAAACGCTGCTTTGTTCGCGTGGGAGTTACCACGCTCATGCTGCCACCTGGAGGGCATAATCACTATCATGCTTGGAGATACTGCAACTTACCTGCCCGTTTCCTTCCGCAGTGATGCTCGCTTTAACTCAGAGCCCCTTTCCAACGGTACAATACCCCCTCATTGAGGGTTTCCAACGCCAATGATATGCGGAAACAAGCTTTGACACGCCTCCCAGCTATCTATTTTATGCTTCTTGTCCAACGACACTTCTGGCCAGGCGTCATCTAATAGCGAGATTGAGATAGCGCCTATTTCTTGATGTCGAGCCCGCACTGTATCCTGAAGTATACGATGGACCCATAGCTTCCCAATGCCTACTCGGGTTAGCTCTCATTAGAACGACGCTGCAGGAACCGTTGTTAAGAGTAAGAGAAGGTAGCATAGAACGAATCTCGAATTTTCTAGGTGACAATTTGTAGTCAATTGAACCACAAATAATCGTCCTGGGGGACTTTTTTCCCTGCTTTAGACAACCTTATTCTGTTGCGCCGCCCCCCCTCTTTGGCAACTGATTTAACTGTTCTCTCTTTTTCAACAACCTGTATCGTGCGACATAGAGCTTCAAGCTGTACCAAACTGTATCTGAAAGCAAAGAACGCATGATGCTGTAGCGATTCAATAATGTATCTTTAGGTTGTCTGAGCAGGGCAATGACATTGGCCATCCACACAACCAATCGTTCTCTTTTGCACGAGCCCTTATATAAAAACACCTGAACTCCGGTGTAGTGCTCTGTTTTCATGTCACTCCAGCGATTTTCCTTGCCATTCCTCACATCATATCAGCTCCGTCACTCCCTCCGGTCCCCACTGGCTTCTCGTGCACACCACCCTGTGCAATCCTCGTCTCCTCGCTCGTTCCTTCCCTCTCCGCCCGCCTCCTCCTCTTGTCCAAAAGGTTCTTTTTCCGCTCAGCCAGTATTGCGTTCTGCCGCGCTGACACGCCAGTCAACCAGTAGCCGAAACTGCCTCCCGCAGCGGCGAAGACGGGGTAGGCCCAGAGAGATTCTTTATTGAAAAAAGGACGCATTTCAATGCCTAGTTGCCAGAGGCGGACCGCGACGCCTGCAGAGATGTTAGGGCTGGTGCGAGACGGGGCGAAGGAATGGGAGGGGGACTACCGAAGCCGGACCAGAAGAGGATTTTGTGGACCATTGTGGCTGTGGATTGGGTTGGCTTAGACGTATGGAGCTTTGGAGAGGTTCACAAGATAGAGATCAGGGGCGAATAGGGCTTAAATGGATCTAAATGGTGCCTGAATCGCTGAGCTTGTGACTTTTGCGGAGTGAGCTCGTGTGATGAAGTCTTGGCGGCAGATATCTGCCGCGATTAGCGCGGCTTGGCAGGTAATGATACCAACGGAGGCATCTCCATTGATTCCTACTTGAAACCCCTGTCCATTTGCTTTGCAACTCTTACTACACCTCCCCAACCCATGACAGTCGCCATCATGGCGTCTGTGGATACCATAGGCAGTAAATATGCGCTTGAAGATCCAGAATTTATCCCGCGCAAACGATTTAAGACCTCAGAGCTTCCATTCAACGCGGCACAGAAATCCACGATTGATGGACTCTTGCATACTATCAAGAAAAAGGGCGAGTATGATTCGTTGAGGAAGAAAGTGTGGTCGCAGTTTGAAGAGAGCGTACGTCTTTGATGTTATCTCCCAAGGCTGTGGTGATTGGCCGAGCATGTTTGCTAACCGCCAGCGCATTAGGCGGAGAAGACGGCGTTCATAAACCAACTGAATGAGCTTGCCGAAGCAGAGATTGAGCGCGACCCATCACTTCTATCTCGTGATCGTGGGAAAGCAGCTACCCTCATGTCTGGAGTAGTCGACCGCAGCGACATCTACAAAAGCGTCGAGAAGACTTTGGACGCGCTAATCGCCAAGAACATCAATCACATCCTTCAGGCAGGAAGGGAAATCAGACGAGCCGAGATTGGCGAAGATATCGCAGCTGCGGAGGAGAAGCGGGGCAACAAAACAGACGAGGAATATGCGAAAGAAGCAGTTGTGCGAAAAGAAGAGAGAGCTAGGGAGAGGAAAAGGGAAGATGCTCGCAAGCGAAGGGAGGAAGAGAAAGAGCGTCTACGGGCAGAAGAAGCTAAGCACATGAAAGAGATTGAGAAGCTTCAGAGCCAAAATGAGCGGAGAAAGGAACGTGAGGCTGCGCGAGCGGAGAGAGAAAAGGCCGCAGAAGAGAGGCGCCGACGAGATAGGCCCAGAGATGACTATGAAGCAGAAAAAGGCAAGGAGAGGGAGAAGTGCGAAGTCCAAGACCCCGACACAGTACCTCCAACGCCAGTAGCGCCACCAATGGACAACAAAGCACTCGAAGAAGCAGCGCTCGCGCTTCTTCTCCAAGAAGGCCGCGAATTAGCTGCGAAGAATGGCCCGCCAAAGCCAGAGCCAGAGCTCTCGGATTCAGAGCCTCCTCATCGGAAACCACACGTTTCGCCGCCCAAAGGCCCTGCGGCCGATCGCAACAAGGTCCCTATCAAACCCCGCCTCGGCTACAGCAGCACACCCCTTCGTCATGACTCGGGCACACCCATTCCACCTCCTCAACCCGCGGGTACACCCCGCAGCCGCAGTCCTTACAGAGCCCCATCTGCACGTCATGACCGCTCTCGGTCTCCTGACCACGCTCGTCGCCATTCTCGGTCCTATTCCTACCGTGATGATGACGCTCGAGCTCAGGCAGATCTAGATCACAAGTCGATCTACAAAGCCCAGATGCAAGCAAAGCGTGACATAGAAGCCGAGGCCTTCAAGAAGCGCGGGCGCAGCGAGCGTGACGAGGGCGAATATCGAAGCCGGAGCCCCTCTCGAGCAACAGAAAGAGACCCCGGCAGAGACAGGGACAAGGACAGAGAGCGCAGCAAGCGCTATGAGTACGAATACAGCCGCGAGGATAGCCGACACCAGGATGAACGGCCGAGAAGCAGAGATCGGGAGAGGGAGAGGCCGCGATATGAGGAGCGCGAGAAGGCTTACACTAGACCGAGGAGGGAGGAGGCGCCAGAACACATCGATCGCTATGTGCCTGGTGGGGCTGCACCTGCAAGAGAGAAGCGTAGAAGTACGCTGGATAATGGAGTAGATAGGGATGACAAAGAGAGGAGTGTCCGGGAAGACACCAGGGATCGAGAAGCAGGCAACAGAGACCGAGATCGAGACCGAGATACCAGGGACCGAGATAGCAGCTACAGAGACTCCAAGCGGGACTACCGCGAGCGCAGCTCTTATCATGACAGAGATCGCAATCGCGACCGAGATGATTACGACAGAGACCGATACCGGGATCGGGAGCACCGAGACCACAGAGACAGAGACCGGGACCGAGATCGTGGTGAAGAGAAGAGCAGAGGCTATGAGCGAGACAGGGACAGGGAGAGGGACGGGCGTGAGGAGCGACCATATACGAGGCCGAGGAGGGAGCCGGCGCCAGAGAACATTGATCGCTATGTACCGGGTGCTGGTTGATGGGTCATGGTTGATGTGAGAGGAACCTTTGCAGGCGATTATTGGATATTCTCATTGGGTATGATATTGGTATGATAGTCGATAATGAGAGCCACGCTTGCCCATCCATGCGCTGTTTGATGTTAAGTTAAGAAAAGATTGCGAAAACTCCGAATCAAACGGTTGAAGTGCTACGTTTCAGGCGTGTTGCCAGAAAAAAGTGACACTTGTCACAGACTTTTCCTTAGAAAATCGTCATTTTGCCTGCAAGGATATCATCTTCTATGCGTTCAATCCTTTTATTCACTATCCTTTAACAGGAAGAGTCATTTTTTTCTGGTCGATACCCACAAAAATGTGCGCAAATGAAAAGAAACAAAAAAGAAAAGAAATGAAGTGAAGTGAAAAGAAAGAGAGCTTTCTCCCATCGGGTTTTGGAGGCCTGGATGCATGACTTTTGCTCGATCCTCTTACAACAACCCATGGCTTTCTGTCCCGGTGAAAGAGGCCTTTACGTCCTGCAAGCTCAATGCACGGACGTCCGGCTCCTCGGGCAAGCTGCCAGACAAGAGTGGCATTCTGAGGCACGAGATCTCCCCCGGATCACCTCGATGTTGGATATCGACCCGGAAAAGACAGCCGTTCGTAGTCAGGATTGCTTCACAACAAGAGTCAAGCGACTAGCCAAGGTGTTTCCTCGCCCGCTGTATACAACGTTCCACGTACATTTCTACGAGCACGACGCAGCCAACACCTTCGATGAAGTTGCTGAAGGGAAGCCGAGCTCACCGGTACCACCACGTCAGCGGAGCATACCCATCTCCCTTGGAATGCCACGCTGGCGCACCAAACCTCCGAAACCAGCGCACACTGCGACCGCTACCGTCACCACCGCCCGTATACCGAGCGAGACAAGGCTCAGCGAACCGTATGAGCCGGACGTTCGTCCGAATTCGAGAAAGTTGCGAATGGAACTGCGTGGCCACAAACAGGAGTGAAGAGCCAGGTGTCGGCCATGTTGCAGGGTTTCGCCGAAGATTGTCAATACCGATATGCGGAGGAGGAGAGGGTTTGGACAGCGTAACCATAACAGAGAAAGAGGAAGAGTGCGGCATCGACGAAGGCGATTGTAGAGATATTGATACCGCTGGCGGAGACGGCCGGATCGGATGCGTGCTACTGGGTGTCTGGATTGCAAGGAGCGGCTTTGTGAGTTGGGGCACATTGCGGGGGTGGTCTATACCTGCAGTACTATCGAGCGTGATCGTTGGAGCGCGACCTGCGCGATTCCTAAAAGGGCGCCGAGAGCTTGTGCAACCGCGGAGCTCGACGCTGCTTATGAGCTCCAATATGGGACGCCTGTCCGTCGGTCATGCCCGAGTTGTGAGTAGCAGTGTGTGTTTTGTGACCCTACGCGCTCATGTGCCTTACGCTTTCTATAAGCCTACTCCTGATATAGCCCTACTTGTCTTATGATCCCACGCGCTCTATAAGCCTGCTCATGATATGTCTCTGCGCGCTTTATGCTCCTAATCTCGCGTGTTGGGTCTCGTCCGAACCTACGTGTTTTCACCCTGTGATAGCTACGCCGACGCAGGGTTAAGTCTAGGCGGCAAAGCGAGAGGCTCCTCTGCTCTGCTCCATTTGCTCCGCTCCATTTCGGAGCGAAGATCTATTTTGCTTCGTCTGCTCATCTGCTCATCCGCTCATCCGCTCATCTGCTCATCTGCTCATCTACTTGCTCCTCTGCTTTTGCTCATTGTGTATCTGCAGCAGGAGATCTCGAGGGATTTGGGCCCCCGAACGTTTAGGAGATCTCGATCGCTTATCTGCGCATCTGCTCCGCTTTATCAAATTTCGCTCTGTTCGAAACGATATACGTCAAGTGAAATTCAGGCAAAAACAAGAATAACATGTATGATAGGTCTGGCGAGGTTATAAAGTATCACAAAAAGCTTCTTTGTTGTGGACTAATATATTTCATTGTACAAGTACGTTATAAAGGTCTCTACTTGCGATTGTTGCTCTTCGTGCTCGACACAAAGTCCCGAAGATAATACCCATTCCCATTCCCACACAAACATGCTGTCATGATCAGGGCAAGTGCCGTATATCTGCTCGTACGTTGAGCGACACCTCGACCGCGCCGGGTAAGCAGATACGAAATAACGCTGCATTTGAGAATATATTCGACTGTTGAAAAAATGTACTAAAACCTCTCCCATTCATTAATAGCTTTCATAGCAAAGAGCACAAAGGGGATCGACTTAGGCGAGTAAAGATTATCTTTCCATCGAGGGCTAATACCATTTAGAAGTCCATCGAAATGTTATACTTGTAGGTGGCCCAGACATTTTGTGTGTGCGAGACAGAGACTTGCTGTGTATGGCTGTCAATGTTAATCATGCACACTTTCCAACCATTCGCGTTTTCCAAATCCTGAACCCTTGCGCGCATTTCTTGAGCGGAAAATGCCCAGTAAGGCTCGAAGGCTGCCATAATGGTGTCAAAGTTATCGTTTACAGTGGTGTTGGACTTGACGGCGGCATCATACCACTGATTGAATCCTGGCAGTGGCTCTCTCTTGTATCTCCGTCTGTATTCGTTGACGGCTTCTTATGAGGACCGCGATTGCCGCTTTGTCATGTCTCAGAACTTCTGATTCGCTTCTTCCACAAGTAGCTCGATTGGATGCATAGCATTCTTCGTCAAGCCAAGAAAGCCTGTCTCGTCTGGTATTAATCTAAGAGGAGAGTCGGCGTGAGCCATCTGGAGGTTTAAGGGCAAAGCAGATGTGAAAATTGAAGCCTAAGATGGCCGTGGTATACAGAAAAAGAATGAAGAATCTCCGGTCTAAGTGTCGCTTCAACGAAGCCAACCACAGTCACCTGGACATGCCAAGAAGCGGTAGCGGTAGAGTGGCTCAAGACCGTTGGAAAGTCGAACAGGAAAGGGGAAAATGCGCAACGGTTGCAACAGGCATGGTCGACGTCTTCCTGTACAGCCTCTCTACCCATTTGTGTGTTGGCAATGGAGTTACTTGTGAGCTTGGTAGGCGAAGAGGCTCAGCTGACTGTCCCATACGTAACCAAAGTCTGTCAGATCGAAGCTAGGCACGTTGCTTTGTCGCACGGCGCTGGCGTTTCAAAGCCTCATATCAGGACATGTTTTGTGCTATGACTGTAACAAGGACATCGAAAACTACTCGTCAAACTAAATGGAGACGGAACGATACTCCGAGACGAGGTTTGAAGATGGAAGTAAGGGACGAGATGGAAACGAGAGGTCCGTGACTGCGAGACTCGTAAAACAACAACGATATCGCCTGTAGATGAAACACTTATCGCCAGGCTTCTTTGCTTGCGTCTCACCCTATATCGATCAGATTGACATCGAAGTCCTCTGCTTGAGTCTGCCTTTGTCTTATTGTGGACGTTTCAATATTCCAAAGGGCGAAAGCTACTGATGATGGGATGAGTATCTGAAGAAGACGATGTTGGGAAGGTCGATTGAAACGCGCTAATCCATCTGTCTCTAGCGCAACGCCAAGCTTGTTTCAACTTCTTTACTGAGGGAAATTTCTCCGACCATCCATCATCCAGCAATGTTCTTTCGGTTCGTATTCGTATTCGCCTTTTTTGTATAGCGTTGACTACCTCTAATCAATATAAGTGAAGTCTAGGAAATTTATATGAAAATTGTCACCCTTCTATGGCATCGCGCCTGAACTGTAGGATTCTATTCAGCCATAGAGCCCCTGATCCGGAAGGCAGAGAGGACATGGATGTCACCGGTGAGTAATGATGGAGACAGTACCGTAGAAATACTCATCGATTCTCCACGCGTACCAAAAGCCGACCTCGAGAGATGGACCAAACAAATGAGGCGTGATGCGGCCACGCCTTTCCCGATCAGCACATGTCCCGACGTGCGAGAAAATACGGCTGCATGAGAGCTACTTCATAGGAAAGTTGGTCCGTATGTAGCGGAGGTTCCGCACCATACTGACTGGAGGCGGAGCTTTCTGGCTCTCGGCAAACTTCAAATCCACCGGATGCTGACGCGGCGTGCATGGCACAGCGGCTAGCTGGAGATTGTAATCGATGCAGAGATACTATGACTTTGATGAGATGCTCGTATCGAGAATCCTTTGTGTTATGGGGAATAATCATAGACTGTTCCCATCGGGTTTCAAGCCGACGTAGGAGTGCTATAGCTGTGAGGTAAAGAACTGTGGTGGAGTCGATGCTACTTGCTCACAAGTGTACAAGGGCGGAGATAAGGCCACGCAGCGTATGTACCATCGTCCTGTAGCACTACGCGTACGACATAGTGGAGGAACGGTCATAATTGAAAGTAGATTGAACTTACTTACTGTGGCAAATTGAGACGGTGATGGGAGGTCTGGAAGGTGATACGGAATTCTGCCTCGCATAGGACGTTGAGCCGTCTTCTCCAGGCTCGGAATGGTTAAATCGGAGGTATAGGAGGGCATATCAATCGAAGAGAATACGCCTGGTATCCTCTATCTTACTGTACACGGAGTAAGAAAGCCCTCATTCAGCCATTCGTTGAGCTTCCAAGGAAAAACCGCTCCATCATTCAGGTCAACCAATCGTCGCCCACATGTACGCAACATAACTGCCGACTCCATCCGCAGGATCGTACATTGCACTTATTTTCGTGATCCCTTTGCCGTTAAGGGCCACCTTATAGTCAGAAATGATTCCATTACCATTCGGTGATCCCAGCAATGGCCAGAATGCATTATCAAGCGATGTATCTTCGGGCGTCCATGACTGGACCTGTCCCGCCGGAACACCTGCCAAGGCCTCTTCGATGATCTCGTTGGTGTATGCGTTGTTGATGTTGCTACGAAAGACGTATCTCAAGCCAGAATAATCAGTCGTCCCAGGCGTGACAGTCTCACAGAACCTCGTCCATAGCCGCCAGGCGATTTCGGACCAATTATCTGGGCACGCAGGCCGGGTTAGGAGGTTTTGCCTGTCGTTAAAGGCTGCAATGATGACACCGTCCACAGGGCTAAATTGGTTTGTGAAATCAGCATTGGGAGAGTCTCCCTTCGGCCAGGTCACCGTTTCGTAATAATAGTTTTTTGCAATCCCAACCCCCAAATCAGTGAAGAGTGGTCGAAGGGCTCTAGGGGGAAGTGTTAATTGCGGAACTTGGATATCGTAGTTGTCTTCAAAGGTACAGAAAGGTGCTCTATCGGCACCAGTCTTGGCTTGCCAATTTTGGTAATAACTGAGCCCGCTCGGTGCATACTTGGTCCAGGTCGGACTGTGGTCTACCCGAGGAACAAGCACTTTTGTGCCCTGCTTAGATCGGCGTCCATGAACGGTTCGGCCTTTTCTGTTGGGATCCCAAAAGTCTAGATCGGTTCTTTCGTTCCTTGGTTCAAGGCTGACGGGTCCATTGCAAGAACAGGCGCCGCCCTCTAAGCCGCCCTTTAAATATTTGTAGTAGTCGACCGGGTTGATGGCCTCGCTCACGGTCAGATCAAAGTTGTAAGCTGCATTTATTGGCACTCTTGCAGTATCGTCGCAACAGAATTGACCTGCCACACATTCACAGCCGCCGCCTTGCCAAGTACCCCAACCTGCCTCGTCGTTCTTCGCTTTGCCATTTGATACAGGCGTACCTCCTGGGGCGAATATTTGTTCTAGAGTCAGATTTTGCACGCAGATGAAGATGTCCGTGGCACTGTCACTACCCCCGTCGAAATCGAAGACAGGGTCTGAGATGTCAAACAGAGCAGTGGAGGTGGGAAGACTTAGAGTGGTTGTGCTTGTAGAGGAAATGGTCGTGCTTGTTGTTGAAGGGGTGAAAGGAAGGGGCGATGGATCAGAGTCTGATGTAGTTTTCCAGGTCAGTATCTCTCTTTGCGGACAGAAAAATTGAGTCATAAGACAGAATCGAGGAGTATTGGAGCTGGAAACATGTTCTGAGACCCTCTTTTGTGCCCGGATCAAAAAAACGAAAGGGTAGAGAAGACCTACTCGTTGGGTCACCTGTCGTAATTAATGTAGTTACTGTAGCGAAAGCAGCTACTGCATTACACGCTCCACTGGCAAAGCTTGTGGTAGTCGTACCGCTACCGCTGCAGTCTGTAGTGGCTGCGGAACAATTAGTAGTGCAAGAAGTTGTTGTTGCTGCTGTTGCCGCTGCACAAACTACCTCGCAGTCGGTGACGACCTTACTCACGCTGCATTCCTCCTCTACTGAACTGGGAGTAGGCACAAGATTGTTTCCCATGGTAATGGTTGGCCAACTTGGAAAAGGGGCAGGCGTCGGTGGGGGATAGATCTAGATGACTTAGGTAAATATTATTCGAATTGGAGTATGACAGTACTTACTGTTGGAATTCAGCAACTCAGCCCTGTTATGCTTGGCATGAACTATAAGTAGCAGTACTCCTCCATAGAAAAACAACAAGCCGTCATCAATTTCATCAGGTTATGAGCCCGGTTTGACGAAAATCGTCGCCACGACGGCTTCCTTCGTAAGGGATTACTAAAGGTATTCTTACGTCGTACAATTAAGCTACAGAGTAGAGGTCCCGGTCGACGTCCGCTGCGTTAACACAAGTTGCAAATCACTACCTCTACGGCTTTTTCAGCGCATTTCCACACCTCTACGCATATCCTACGATACGATATCGACCACAACACTGTTAAAGGCAGAATATTGAGGGGCTTAAAGGCTTAAGCCAGGATACAGAGGAGAAAAGTGGAAGCGCACCAGACAAGGCAGCTAGGGGAGGACTCGACAGTTAGAAAGATGTCAGATGCCAGTGTCAGATGCCAGTGCCAGAGCCAACGTCGCCTGTGCCCGATGCCAGTGCCAGAAGCCCGTACATTTCGAAGTCGAATCAGTCACTCTATATACCCTACAACACGCCACAAAGTCCTCTACGGAGGTATTCGACAAGGCAGTTAGGGAGGACAGTTTAGAAAGAGGCATGAAGGAACAGACACCCACTCAAAGCCTACAAACCAGTCACTCGATATACCCTACAAGCACTCTTCTCGATTTCCCTACGAACGAACGAGGTTTACAGGTTTAAGGAGGCTTCAAAGCAGGACACAGGCAATTGATTTATGGAGCTACAGCTACAGTCCCAGGGGGGAGCAAAGTAAATAGGTCTTCGCTGCAGGGGAGTGTTGGAATTCAGCAACTCAGCCCTGTTATGCTTGGCATGAACTATAAGTAGCAGTACTCCTCCATAGAAAAACAACAAGCCGTCATCAATTTCATTACTTACACCAGGAGTTCCCATGCCAAACACTATGATACCTCCACTATCCGCTCCAGGAGGGCAGAACAGGCAGCCCGGTCCACCTCTGATGAAAGGGTATGAACCGGGAGGATGAGATCCATCGCTTGTGTAGATTACGGTATTCGACGGAGGGTCCGGAGTGATTGACGAGACGACCGAAGCGCTTGGATTATAAGACGTGGTGACAAAAACCAGTAGTGCTCCAGCGGATTGGCTTGAGGGTGCCTTCGCTGAAGACGTAATGACATGACCCGGTACTGCCCCAGTGGATCCGGTTGAGGTTGCCTCCACAGGGTCTGAAGGTGGCAAATCTGGAGGAGGCAGCTCTGGTTGCCCAGTGGGCTGGTTGAAAGGCGTCCAAGCAACTCCTCCCGGACCGATCTCGACTGTGAATGTGCTACTCTGACTATTGATAGATGTTGTTGTGATCGTCGATTGGAGTGTCGCATATTGAGAATACGTAGTTGGCACAAAGGTCTCGGTAATGACTGTCGGGGATCCGCTGAAAATTGTTGAGACAGTAAGGACGGTGGCCCCTGATGGCAGCGTCACGGAGGAACTGGCTTGGAGTAGTGGGTTGGCTAGATCGAGCGAGTTGCCTACTGGAGCAGGAAATTGAGCGTCTCGGATGCACTGATGACGGATCTCGCTTACTCGAATAGTTGACTGAATTTACTACCACCCATCCTCCCCAATAAGGTGTTGACCCCAGTACGCTTGCGTTCAAGATTGATTGGAAGTTGTCGGTACAAGCTGATCCTGATGGACTACCAATGCCCACCACACTCGTAGTATTGAAAAAGTAGCCACCATCAAGAATATAAAAGGTGTTATTGTTGGGTCTAACGGAGGTTGCTTGCAAGTGGGCGTTGCAAGCGTTGCCAGTTGCATTGGCACTTTTGAGTACATTTGCAATGTCTGAAGAAGATGGATCTGCGGATGAGCGTGGGAAAGTGCATGTTGGGAGCACAGATCTTGTTGGTAGAACAGCTGAAGTAGCCTTACAGCTCTCAATGATAGCTAAGAAGGAAAGTAGAATGAGAGAAGTAACGAAGGTAAATCGCTCCATGGCGATGCTAGCAACAGACAGATAGGTTCTGCCCGTAAAGACAGTGTATGAATGAAATAAGAAGAGGAAGACAAGATGGAAAGCAATATCAACAGCATCATTGTAGGCAATGACGCGGCGTCAAAGTGCCCTGGTCCTTACATGTTAATTCCAAAACAAAGTTAGCAATTAAGGTGAAAGAAGAGACGGGCAGTAGATTGGTTTAAAGTCTCAAGAAGGTCGATGAAACAAATTGACAGCAACGAATTAGTACAGTAGTAGTGTAGTAGTGGAGTAGTATGAGGCACAGCATGATCGTTCTAGAGGAAAAGGCAATCCGAGAAGTCAGGCTCGGCTCCTCTTGGCATATTAGTAGTCATATTAGCTCCTCGTATCATGCTCCATCACCGTTTCAAACCCAAATCCGCAGTCAATCGAGGCGACATGAACTTGCAAAGCAAAGTCAAAGCCAGAACACTTCCATACTTCCCATCTACCGTCTCGCATCTCGAAACGACGATACTGTAGAACACTGCTTCATTGCTCGCATCTGGCACGCAGTTAGGCCTAGACTCGATGAGCTCCCTATTCATCACCAAAGAAAAAAAGAAGAAGAAGAAAAAGAAAAAAACTTGTCTGGTGGAAGGTGACAGCGACGAATCCGATGTTTGTGAAAAAGGGACAAGCAGCCTGTCATCGATCTAGGGGCTTATTGGAGGAGGCACCTCGTCGCTTTCATCGACTGTCCAGGGGAGATTGCAACTGCAGCTGCAGCAAAGTGAGGACGATTGGCCAGTCCACATTCATACTGCCATTGCTTGCCTCTGAATAGAACGGGGATTGATTGCAGGGGAAGTATCTGTCTTGTAGCTTGTTGGACATCTCGTATGAACACCTCATTATGTACATATAACCGACAGCATCAAGATTCGTCTTCACTACCCAAATATTCTTCAAACGCCTCATTGTACTCTCTCCGCCTTCTTCCCCTGTCGCCGTCACGGAAGACTACAGCTTGCATTGCACGTTTCACACTCATGCGGAATACGCAAGCTGAACGCATGTCCTCAACTTCGAGACTTTTCTCTCTTGACAGATCCTCCTCCTTTGTCTCATTGATACCATGTGCCGTCGCGGTTTCCTCGTCCTTGCACACGAGTAGTACTCCCCGCTCTCTCCAATCCTTGTGATCAGCTACGATAAAGAGATTGCAGAACGTCTCTCTCAACTTAAACAGCCCCCTTTCCCTAACATGCCCATGCTTCGGATGGGGTTTCGTATACTCGGGTGCCAATACATCCGATTCGAGCATTGCGAGCCGCTCGCACAGCCTCTGATGGAACGACACCACCTCCGCCATGTCCACGGGCGGGTAGAAACGCATAAACTTGCCAAAGAAACTATCGAAGGAAATGTCCCTCTCCCTATCCCGGTGCGGAAACCACTCCCTATACACAAATTCGAGAATCTCAACATGGACTATAGCGTTCACGGAGGTGTTGCAGTAGATAGGGCAGTCCTTCCAGCAGAATTGTCTGCAATCGTCTGGATCTAGCTGGGCGATGGTCTTGGCGACTCGTTTGTGAGATTGGTTTGGGACCTCGAGCATTTCTGAGCAGGGACTGATGTTTTGGATGATGAATGGTCGAAGCCAGGATCTACGTTGGGCCTCGTAGTGATATTCTTCGGCGCATCCGCGAAGATGTTTGGGATCTTGCAGGGCGGCTTGCATTGCTGTTAATGGTTTTGCCATTTTGGCGGTGGAAGAGCGATCCGGATGAGCGATCATGCAGAGAGATTGGAAGAGAATTGCAATTTCATTGGCTTCATTTAGCTTCAAATGTCTTGGAAGTTGCAAGCGACGGGCCGATGTTCTTCCGCTTTCGGCCTGAGGTAAACGAAAACCGTCTCCAGGTCTATTCATATATTCAGCCAACTTGGTAATAGAGCCCCATTGTCCGACTCTTAGGCTAAAGATATCATGAATCTTAGATTAGTTGACTATAGGATTGCCTTAAGAGGCTTGGGGAGACCTCGGTCAGACTGGATTTCAGCGTTGTATCCCATATCTTACTCGTATTGACCTGCCAGAATCTAAAATAACTACCTACTTACAATGAGACACGGTACTAAAAGGCCTGGATTTGAAAACACTAGGAGAGTTCTGCCTTAAAAGTGATTTTAGCGGTATACATCGACTGGATACCGTATCTGAGAGTAGGTAGGGTATATCGTAATAAGTAAGACTCTAAGCTTGATTTTATGCAAGTGGAAGTTGGCAAACAGACGCACGAAGAGCGAGACGGTGGACCTACTTGTAATGCCAGCGTTTCTGGGTTCTTCGGAGTAAACCTGCGAGTTGTGGTTGTCGGCATTATAGCTCTCCATTGCGTCACCTCCAATGATCATTTTGTGCCCCTCCAAAGGCTTCTTCAACTAGCTCCACTTGTTCTGTCGCTTTAAGAGCAAATACTAGTACCTTTCTTAGGCCTCATCCTTGCTTGGTGAGTTTGTTTGTTGATGTTGCAGTGTAGATGGCTATTGTACGGTGGTAGCTTTCCCTGCAGGGTATCCGTTCGGATTCACGTCTGGTGATACTGGGGTAACATCAAGAGCATCATTTTGTTTGTCAGCACACAGAACGAGGAATATAAATTCCTTGATCTACGTGGGCATGCATCCTATCTTCTCGACATGCGCGTGAATTCTCATGTAGATCCTGCATATTAGAAAATATTACTTCTGCGAGGCCGAAGGTTGCCAGATACCCTCCAGTCTAAAGCCAATGTCTGACGTACCATTTCAGTTGATTGTCACCCTAATCCCTTTCGAATCCAACCTCGGAGACGTATTCAAAAAGTCATGCTTCAGCTCCACATCGCTAATGTCTGTCTCAAAAAGCTCCAACCTAAATCTTCCAGGCGCAAACACTGCCGCAAGCGTCAGATATAACTCACAATAAGCCAGATTCAGCCCTGCACATTGGCGACTGCCCCTACTGAACGGAATAAGGTATTTGCGCAGTGACGGCTGCTCTAAAAAGCGTTCGGGTCTAAAGGTGCGAGGATCCGGGAACAAGGTTGGATTGTCATGGAGGAGGACAGTTGTCATGCCTACAGGCGTCATAGGAGGGACTGAGTAGCCATTGCATTGGAGCACCGTGTCGGGAAAGAGGCGTTGCATGCGATGAGACACGCCGTAACCGATGCGGAGGGCTTCCGTTATGACGGCGGTCAGGTAAGGAAGCTGTTCGAGCTGTTGCCACTGCGGTGATGGGCCGGTCTTTGACATGAGGTTTCCGAGTTCTGTTTGTAGCTTCTCTAGGACTGGGGGATTGCTGATCAGGTAAAATGAGGTGACGCCTAGAATGTGACCTGTGGTAACGGTGCCCGCAGCAATGATGGTCTGAGCTTCGTCTTGGAGGTGGCCTGTTTCCTTCTCCTGAGGCCGGACTTCATCATTTGTAAGTACATCGTAAAAAATGGTTTCTTGTCCGATGGGTTTTTCGCCTCTGGCAAGTCCTTCCTTAGCTTCGATGACTTGCTGGCGAAATCTCTGCAACATATCAGCATGGTATTTTCAGGTGTCGGGGAAAGAAGCAGACCCGCTGGAATTCGAGAAGAGTCATCATCTGGGGCTGAACTACTTTCACGAGCCATTCTGGCATAGCCTTCATCAGCGGCATCATCCAGCCGAACTGCTTAAGGATATGACCGTTCTCAGAGACGCCCATAATGAGTTTGTGCCAGTGTGGCGAAAAGTCCGGATCATCAAGAAATCCGTACGTCTGCGCGAACGCATACTGTCCAATAACATCCCCAGTCAGACATGCATATACGTCAACCAAGTTGACGTTCCTGCCGGATCCTTGAAGGCCTTCGAACCGTGAGACTAGCTTGTCCAGGACGGATTGGATGCCAGGTTCGAGTCTGAGCAGGGTGGTTTTCGACAAATAGTGGGCAAAGATGCCTCTGCGAATGCGGTGAAGCTCATGGCTTTCTGTTGCCAAGAATCCGGTCTTCAATCCGAACATCTTCTGGCTCCAGCCATACTTCATACTCCTCTTCTGTTGGTTTGGATATATCTCATCGATCATTTCGGGATCATTGATGTGTATTTCATAAGGACTGATTCGGACGATGGGTCCTAAACCGAGTCAACAGATTTGACTTTCCTTTTCGTGGTCGATGCCTTGATCAGATGCTCACCATATTTATCATGCATCTCCCAGATCTTCCAGGTGTATCGGCCTTTCTTGACAACATCGTAGTAGAACTCGTACCAGAGACTTGCGGCAGCGAGCTTTGGCCCAGGAATCTTGGAAAGGGGATCAAAATACATGCGATAGACATACAACCCGAGGACGTAAAAGACAGAGAAGACAGACAGCAGTTTGAGCAGGGTTGATAATTCCATAATCGATAAGATTTAGGATATGTAGGAGAAAGAAGATGATCTTCTCACACGAAGATTGACGAACAGAGGTCTAGATTTTGGTATTTACGCCTTCTCCTACACCTGGCTAATAAGACTCGATTGTCTGCCATGGCAAGAGCGGGCGGCGGGAAGGGGGGCCTTTAAGTATTCCCTCGATTCTAGGCGCATGCTCGAGGGATATGCTAGACATGCAAGCGGGGCATGATCGTCGATAAGCCCCACCACGCCAGCACATGTTGTGGAGCGGCACATACTTAAATGGGGCAAGACGTCTCGAGAAAAACTCCGTGTTTGCCTCAGCGGCTGAACAGGATCTTGATTGTCAAAGATTTGTGGTGGTGACTCCATTGTTAATGTGCTTCCAGGCCTAAAACTTGGATTTCGAGAGAAAGCGCCACTTTTGGTTTAGCGTGCCATGAATCAATTTTGATCCAATCATCCAAGCCGATGATTCATTAAGTTGTAGGGCTGAGTAGTGTAAACCTACCTTAGGTGTTACTTAGAATAACTCAACAAAGGCTGAGTTACTTCTATACTTCTTCTCCCTTCTCTCCAATATATCACGGTCCAGTCCAAAGACCACA